CCCGGGATCCGAACCCGGGCCGCCAGCATCGCAGCGCACGCACTTAACCACCAAGCCACGGGGCCGGCCCTTCATTGATAATTATTATTTATTGAGCTTACTAAAAATCGATCTTATGTTTCTTTTTCAATAAGAATTGAATATCAAAATGTCTGCAAAATGGCTGGTAGGGACCATCTATTTTATGCACATCATCTCCCTCAGGTCAGTTATCCTCATTTTATTCATGAGGAACCTGAGACTCAGAGGTTGAGTAAGTTGCCCAAGGAATTCCCACCCAGCAAGTGGCAGAGCCTTTCAAGCTACATATCTTCTCCAGTTCATCAAGTTGGGGAACTTTCTCACCCCACTCAAGGTCTATTACTGTCTAAAAAATGAGTCTGGTATTTAGCACCAAGAAGAGAAAAAAAAAACCAAAACCACTGACAAATGCCTACTCTCCAGATCTCTATATTCTCCCACATTCTTTGTCTAGAACCTTCTGCTCTCATAACATCCTCTCTCAACATGATTCAGTTTCCACAATGACCCCTTACCTTACATGAGACACATTGTAGAGTAGCCCTTCCTGACAGGTGACTGCACCTGTGAGGTTACTGCAAACCCCAAGACCATGTCTGGGAAGCTTCTAGCTGAGACTAATCACATTCTCTGTGCACGGGCCCTCGTCAGCTTCAATTACCCACAGAGGCTCAAGATGGTGGAAATGCCTGTCTACTCAAGAGTAGGAGCAGAAGTGACAGGCGTGTGATCTGCTCTCTGGGATTATCTGCCCCGTTTCTCCCTGAGTTGGCTGCATTTGTGCACCAACCCTGACCCCAATGCATGTTACATAAGGATCCCAAATGACATTTGATCTTCATCTTCCCTTTCCTTCCATCCCAGTGCATCACAGGGCGACCGCCAGAGAGGAGTGTTATCAGGGAGAGCGGCAGAGACCAGGTGTTCTACCTCCCTGCCTCCACCAAACCCCGGTCACCATCACCCCAGATTTTGATATGTGAACTAGATCTATGAGCTAGTTTGATTTTATTTGCCCCAGAAATCTCAGACCAATTGCCCAGAAATGAGACTTGCTGATATAAAGATGGTGCCAAGGTGGGAAGTGGAGTTGGGCATGGGTTTGGAGACAGAGACTAAGTTGGGAAAGAAAAGAGAAGGCTCAGTGCCCGACATAGGAACTTAACAAAACTTCTAGGAAAGCTCTTCCTTACAGTAGAATGCCAACTGATAGATAGAGAAAGGATGGTGGGGTTGGAAAGTTGTCAGTAGATGCCAAACCTAGCAGCTGAAAATTTGATGAGCAACAAGATATTTACTTAGTCTCAAAGTATCTCCCTAAAAGATGCTTATTAATTACGAAGGAAAAACAGTAAATTTACAGTGGAGAAAACTGGCAGTCACCACGGTAACCAAATGATCGAGGTTAACCACCCCAGTAATGGGACAAACCAACATCATGCGCTCCCTGACGTGATGCACCGAGAAGGACACATCACTTCAGCAGCATTTCTGTCAGAAGCATAAAACCTGAATCTAATCACCAGGCGACACTAGACAAACCCAAATAATAGGCTTGCAATCTCCAACAATGTCAGGATCAAATAAGACAAAGAAAAGCTGAGATTAAAGTCTTCAAATTAAAGACTAAGGAGCTAGGACAAGTAAATGCAATGTGTGATCAGACGGAAAAAAAAAAAAACTATGAAGGACCTTATCAGGACAAATTGACTAAACTTGAATATGGACTGTCCATTAGATAATAGAATTGTATCAATGTTAAATTTCTTGATTTTGATACTTATATTAGGTTATTTAAGAGAATGTACTTGTTCTTGGGAGAAACACACTGAAATATTCAGGGGTAAAAAGGTGTGATGTCTCCAACTTTGTCTTAAAAAAAACATATATATGTATATATATATGAGAGAAAGAATGATAAAGCAAATGAGGCAAAATATAAACAATTGGATAAACTGTACGTGGGAGTTACTTATACTATTCGTGCAACTTTGTGTAAATTTGAAATTCTATCAAAATAAAAGTTATAAATAAAGAAAAAAGCAACTGATGAATATTATATGCTAACTCTAAGAAAAGATGAGGTATCAGGGGTACAGCTATATTATGCCCAGGGGCTTAACACTCCCTTTTGGATCTTGACTTGTTATTGTATTGAATTTTTAGATGAGGAAGATTGATATATTTGTGAAAGGCTTATCATATATGGCCTGTTTTTTTTTTTTTTTTAATCATTTTCTCTCTTTAAACAAACTGCCTTCTAGGCAAGTGCACTTGCCTGGGAGTCAAGACCCCTGAGTTTACGACCTTCGGCAAATTAATTCACTTCCTTTTGCCTCAGTTTTCTCATCATTTAATTTGAAATGACAAACTCTGCTGCTCCCTCACAGGGCTGCTGGGACTCGGAGGAGACCGAGGAGGGGAGGAGCTTCGAGAAGTCTGAAGCTCCCTCTGAGCCTTGAGAGGGAGTTTATAGGGTTCATCTCCAAGGAGGTTTCTGTTGCATTGAAGACGCTGACCCCACCCTCCTGTCCCCCACAGATGCAAAGGAGATGTGCACTGACTGGTACCAAGGACCAGGTCCGACCTAGAGAGGCAGTCCTAGTGATTCAGCTAGAAAGTGAAGTTCTCCACGCACAGAAAAGTGGGGTACCGAGGCTTTCTCCAGATTATCTAGATCCAACCCACTCAATTTTGAGGACTGAAATAGGTGTTTGAGGCAACCCCAATGGTTTAAAGGGTTGCAGAGGAACTAAACTGGATGATCTTAAATAATGAAGGGGTTTCAATTTTTAAATTCATCTTTTAGGTTGGTATTTACAAAATATATTTTCTTCTTAGCTGCGGGTGTCATTGGAGGGCTTAAAGAAACCCCGTGGTTGAATGATTTCATGGAATCATCCATGACATGAAGAGTTGAAAGACACTTTTGCAATAATCCAATCTCCCAGTCAGTGCAGGAGGCTCCTCCAGCTTTCTTGGTGGGTAAGACCTGATTGGAAGACCAATTCGAAGGACGCCAACAAGGGGGAGCTCACGGTCTATGCCAAGATACCTCATCCCATTTGGGACAGCTCTTTAGCTCCTTATCTTTAGAGTGACAGGGGCTCTGGTAGGTGTGAAAAACAAGGTTCTCGGGCTGCAGAGCCCTGGCCAAAAATACCCAAAGAAAGGACTGGACTGTGTGCCCTTCTGCCAAGCCTTCAGCTCTCAGGAAGAGGAGAGAGGGAGAGTCAGATGGGAGCGGAGAGACGGAGAGGAGGGAAGGGAATATGGGAAGGGGCAAGTGATGGGGAAAGAGAGGAGAAGAGTTTTGGAGAAGGAGTGAGACAGAAAAGGTGAGAGGGGAGTGGAGAGAAAAGCAGAGCAGAGAGGAAGAGCAGGAGGGCTGAGGAACTGGGAGCTCCCGTGGAGGATGCTCCTTTAGCTCAAGGAGGAGAAATGCCCCAGTGGACGGGCTGCCAGTCCTCACCTTCAAAGCGCCTTACCCCGTTCTTGTCGAAGGCTCGGAACATGCCCTCTACATACTGGGTGGCCTCCTCATTGCGCATGACCTTGAAGAAGCGCTTAAACTCGTGCATGAAGAGTGTGCCGCTGGGGCACTCCACCACGAACTTCTTGTACCACTCCTGGAGCTCTGCCACGTCCATCTCACTGGCCATCTCTGCCTCCTCCCAGCTGAACTGCTGCCCCATCTTGGCCCCCAGGAACGTCAGGGAGCAAGGGTCTGTGTCTCCTCTCGGGCTTCTGCTGATTGATTCCTTAGGCCAGGGCCCTCTTCCTCCCTTTCCTTTGCGCAGCCAGCCTCTTCATCATCTCCCGGGAAACTGAACATGTAGGGGGCAGGTGGTGGTGGTGGTGGGGCATGGGCAGGGCCAGGCCAGCTAAGCTGCCCTAAGATCATTAGAAAATTCCCCTGGAAGGTGTGACCTCCAGCCACTAAGCTCCCCTAGCCTCGCGCCTCCCTTTAGTCTTGTCAACCACTCCACTAAGCCACCTGGCAGATTCTGAAGAGGGCGGGGAGTGGGGGGGGTGGGCGTGAGAGATAGGCAGAGGGAGGGCAGGGTGAAGGCGAGTTGGGAAGATAGGCCGAGACCCTCTCATCTCACACACACTCCTGTCTCTTTAGTTGGGCACCACGCCGCTCCAGAGAGGCCCATCTTGGAGACGCAGGAGACTCTGAAGTTCAGAGAAGAAGCAAGGCCAACTCCTTACCCGTAAAATAGAATCTGCTCGTGATCTGGCGCTCGCTCCTCCACGTGATCTAGCAGCAGAATCTATGATGTGCAGGGCTCTGGGTGAGCAGCTCTGTCCCCAAGCTAATTCAGTCCCCAGCACAATACCTTTAGCTCCGTTACAGATCACACCCTTGAGTCTTGGAAGTTTTCCATTTTCCAATTTAAAGTGCAATGCTTCCCTCCAACACCCTTCCCCTAAGACCGAGAGGCAGGGCTTTTCCTACGTTCTCTCCAAAGTGTGAGCATGTGAGGAGGAGCTGGGAACATGGCTTAAAATCTCTCTGAAGGCTCTTCCTATATTTTATAGTAAAGGTTCATGTAAACTTGTTTTTGAATAAATTATATATTCACTCTTATTTTGATGTAATATAAAAATGACCCCTCCAAGAAATCAGAAAACCTGGAGCACCGCTTTTTCTAGAATATTTTAGGGGCAATAGTTCCAGTGAGTCTCATAATCTCAGGGGCAGCAGTCTGTCTCTCACTGGACGTTCATCCTGAATTGTTTTGTACGTCTCCAGGCCTGACTGCCTCTCTCACCAAACATCCCTAGTCTCTCGGAATTCTTCTCACTTCTTGCCATTCCTAAAGTAGGACCCTACTTCCTCTGTCATCCTTTCAAGAACTGATGGATTTTTCCCCCACATGCCACATCCTTCAGGGTTTGGAGATCAGGGCTGGTCTCCTCCTTGCTCTTAATTGTTGCCTCCAGTTTTTCTCTTTTCCCCCTTCAAAAATGCCAGTCCCTTCAAAGCCCTGTCTGCCTCTACCCTCCATGGACTCTTCCTTGTTGCCATCATTCACTGGTGACTTCACCACTTGTCTCAAAGCATCAGCTCAGTGACCTCCACATCTAGGTGGATAGACAGTCCATCCTACACTCTGGCCTCAAAGGTCCTTGATCTTCTTAGTTCCAAACAGCTTTCCTTCCATCCCACCTTGGCCTCCCATTCACTTGTGGTTTCTGGGCCAGCAGCTGCAGCATCTGGGAGCATGTTAGAAATGCAGATTCTCAGGCCCACGTCTCCTACTGAATCAGGAACTTTAGGGGTGGGCCCAGCAAACTGTGTTTGAACAAGCCTCCGTGCTTTCAATGCGCACGAAGTTTGAGAACCTCCACTGTAGGCCTTGCTACCACGCATTGCTGTACTACTTCTGAAACATTCAGACATCACCATCACGTCTCCTTCCGGCTCACTTACTCTAACACCTTCACTCCAGTAACTCACTAGCCTTATTGAGACTTGCAACCTGTTGATCTCATGTTTCCTAACATCTGTCACCTCGCTCATATCCTCGCTTCCCTCCTTACCCTTATCCATGACCCAGCACTCTTGCCATTACCTTGCCATGACTTTGACTTTTGTGCCCCTCTATCCCTCTAACTACTCATTTGGCAAAACTTGACCCTGGCTAAAGCTATCCACTAACTATGCACTAACACCTCACCTGCATCCAGGAGGCTGAATGCCGCCAGAGAAAATCATAAAATCATGCTGGCTGCACACACTTCAAATAATGCCAGACAATCTTCACTCTCCCCCGCCCTGAGATGACTATTCCACAACTGCCCTCAAAGCTTCCACTCACTCCCACGTTCAGCTGATGACATCGGCACATACTTCACCTCACAGAGAAAGGGACGCAGCAGACAACCTCCTCATCTTCCCACCACAGAGACACTTTCCTTCACCTGCACCCACGTCCTCTGCCCCTCTTTCTGGTTCAGTGGAAGCAGTGTCTCTTTCCCCCTTCTCCACCTGTCAGCTCCTCCTCTCGTTTTCCAGATCTCATCTCTCTGCCTATTCATTCCCACAATTATTCCCTTTCTCTTCTGCATCCTCAACTTATCCTTCTCTAATGGATCATCCCTGTCTACAGACATGCTTTAATATCATCTTTATTAAAACAAAATAAAACAAGAATCCTTCCTTAACCCCACATTCAGGGTCCCATTATGACTTTCACGGGCCTACACACTTTTGCCTTCATGGACCATAAGATGGATATTGAATAAATAAATATTAAATAAGCAAATACTAAAAGTGATATTTTATCACTCATTGGTATAAAAATAAATATAATTGAGGCCAATATGAACTGGATTATATTCATTCTTTCTTCTTTTGAAGGAAATTAAAACATTTAAAAGAAATTTAAAATATTGTGGGCCCTAGGCACTGTGTCTACTGGACCTGTTGGCCCTGCCAACTACCACTCCCCTGCAGCTACTGTCCTGATATTGATTCCCCTTACAACAAAACCCCTTGTGGAAGTGTCTGTTTTCCAAAAACACAGCAACAGATCTGGTCTCACGTGTTCTTCCCATCAAAGGGAAGAGTCTATTTCTCCTTCTCTTCAACCTGGATGAGACTTTGTGGCTATTCATTGAAGAGAATGGGCAGAAGTGACACTATGTGACTTCCAAGGCTAGGTCATCAAAGGTGATAGAGTTTCTGCCTGGCTCTTGCTCAGGACTTGCCCTTGGAACTCAGCCACCATGTTGTGGGGAAGCCCAGAGCACACAGAGGTTCTGGCTGACAGCCAGCCTCAGCCACCAGATGTGCGAGTGAGAGAACCTGCAGATGACTCCAGCCCACTCCTCCAGCCACCCCAGCTGATACCAAATGGAGCAGATGTTGTCCCCACAGAGCCCTGACTAAACTGCAGATTTGTGTGCAAAGCAAATGTTGTCCCTGAAGCCACTAAATGTTTTTTAAGGTAGCAATAGATAACTGAACATTCTCAAATCTGTTTGGCATCCTCTTCTTTCTTATTCTCTCCTCAACTTTCTCCAATTGGATGACTATCCCCATCACTCCATGGAGAAGGCTCTTATAGTGGTCACCAATGACCTACTTTTCTTACTCAACCTGCCAGCAGATTCATCACAGTTCACCAAATGAATTCTTTCTTCAAACACTCAAGGTTTCAAGGACCCACACTCCTCTGATTTCACTCCAACTCATCTCCTTTGCTAGCACCTCCTCCTTTTTAACAAATCTCTTCATGATTGGGGCTTCCCAGGCTTGTCCTCAGTACTCTTCTCTCATCTACCCACACTCTCCCTAGAGGAGCTCATTCATCCCCTGACATTACATACCATTTGTAGGCTCATAGCTTCCAAATTTATGTCTTCAGCCTGGACTTCTCCCCAGAACTCCAGATTCATGAACACAGCTGCCTACTGGACATCTATACTCAGACCATGAACTTAGCAAGGCCAAAGCCAAACTACCGATTTCCTTCCCCAATTCCTCCTCAACCCTTTCCACCTCAGTAATGGCATTACCATTTATCCAGTTGCTTAGGCCAAAAACTAGGAGTCACCCTTGAATCCTCTCTTTCTCTTAGATCTCATTTCAATCTATTAGTAGGTCATTCCGTCAGCTCCACCTCTGAACTATATTCTGAATCCACCACTTCTCATCACCTCCATTACTGCAACCCTAGTCCAGACCATAGTCTCTCACCTGGTGCACTGCAGCAGGTCCTAACTGGTCTTCCTGCCCCCTCTTGCCACCGGCTTTCTACAGTCCATACCCAGCAGCCAGAGCAGTGTGTTCTAAAGCATAAAGCAGATCTGCCACTCTCCTGCTCCAAACCCTCCTATGGCTTCCCATTTACACCCAGAATAAAATCCACACCCTTTCCCATGGCCGCGATGCATTACACGATCTAGCCCCTGCCTGCTGAGCCTGCATGTTCCTCTGCCCTTGTCCACAGACACAGCAAGCTCCCTGGGCCTTAGCGCTGATTGTTCGTGCTGCTTGGACTGCTCTTCCCTCAGGTCTTCACATGGTGTCTCCTTCTCGATGTTCTCCCCTCCTCAGAGAGAACTTTCCCAATCCCACTCAAGTAATTCTGATATTATCCTATTTTATTTGCTTCAGAGTGCTTAACTGAATCTGAAACTATCTTATTTTTTCTCTACTTATTATGTCTTCCCCACTAGAGTCCAAGATCCTTAAGGAGAGAGACTTCGCCATATACACTGCAGAGTTCCCAGTGTTTACAACAGTGCCTGGCACATACAAGGGATTCAAATGCTTGTTGGGTAACTGAGCAAAGTGCTCAGCACACAGTCAGTGCTGAACTAATGTGAGCTATTACTCCGTAATTTTACAAGACCAACTGCTCTTGACTCCTTTGAGAGTGCCTGGGTTAGCAGATATTTGTTGAAATGAAAAGATAATGGGATTCTAGAACTGGAAGAGGCCTTGAAGATCATCTAGCCCAGTGATTTTCATCTTTTCTCCATCTCCTCACATCTGAAGACAACATGTGCCCATCAGCCAACTGTGGCTCTGTACCAACAGCACCTCAACCGGCTTGGTGTGAAGATGGTGTCATCTCTGTCCCTCTCTTCATATTTATCAACGTTTAAGCAACATTGAGGAGTGATTAAAGGATGGTACCTGTGCTCAAGAAACTGTATGAATGAAATATAACTTGACTTAGCCTCTTGCCGAGGAATTTAAAATTCAACTGGCTTTCCATGTGGGTCAGTTGCCCATGACCTGTCCTTAAATACCGCTGAGCTGTTGAGGTATAAATATATCGTTTTAAAGAGGATTAGGACTCCATAGAGAGAAATGATAGCTTGAAGTGAGTAACAATAGTAAGGATTTAAGGAGGGCAGGGTTAGGAATTGAGTGGAGATTTGCAAAGAGAACCCTGGGGATCTCAGGCAGTCAGCCATAAGCCTGGCTCCGGGAGTAAAAAAATGCCTGAGAGCAACAAACCAGGGTCTGCCAAGCCCCAGCTGGGACTGGCCCAAAGCCCTACTGTAAATGGTCTCCATGCCAGTGTCCTTGTGATGCAGTAGGACGCTCCTCGCTGAAGCCTGAACTCTCCTGTTGCCTCTCAGACACTCAGGACCAGTGTCAGCCTCGAGACCACAGGACTCACACTGTGTATTACGCTTCTTGCCTCTATTCATACACATTTACATCTTTTATTCCTTGGATGTTTTCCCCTTAGTCAACTTCTTTACTTCTTAGCTGTAGGGGAAATGAGTGCATTTTGCTAATGCGCAAGGGGAAATAAATCTGGATTTTAGGTTTGAATACTCTGCATTGACTATGTAGACATCTGAGTACCTCCTGGCCTTTGAAAATTAGGCTGCGGGGCTGTCCCTGTCACTAACCTGAACTCAGACAAATCAGTTTCACCTTTTTTGTCTCAGCTTCATCTGTAAACTGAAAGGGTGATTGAGTCATAACTTGGTTTTCTCCCCTGTAGATCAGGAATAACAGTAACTACTTCATCACGTTGTTATAAAGATTAAATAAAATAGTATCTGCAAATGACTGTTTATGTAAAATGCTTGGCATAATGTAGGGTGGGGATTATAATAAGCACGTTACATGTTTTCTCATCTAAATTAAACTTCACAGCCATTCGAAGGTATTATCCTCACCTTGGAGATATCCTGAGGTCCTTTCCAGCTGGTTTTTAAACAGTACAGCACACAAGCATCTGGAGTATCATCGAATTTGTACTGCCATCTAGTAATAGATATTATTTATTGAATGTCTATTATCTGTCTGGTACCACGTGAGGTGCTTTATAAGTTATATAAATTAATACACCAACTGTAATAAGTAGCTACTATACCCTACATTTTACTAATGAGTAAACTGAGGCTCTGATGGGGTTAAATATCTCGCCCAGTTTACTGCAGCTGGTGGTTTTGAACTCTTACCTGACTCAGGCCTGTCTGACTCCAAAGTCCACGTTGTCTCTACTCTGCTGCTCATTAGTGTTGTACTAAAACGAATTTAATAATCTAATGTAGGAAAGGAGGAATGGTAGCTGACAAGTAGAAATGTTAAGAAATTAGACTACTGGTTTAAAATAATTGCTTTAGGGCCGGCCCCGTGGCTTAGCGGTTAAGTGCGCGCGCTCTGCTACTGGCGGCCCGGGTTCGGATCCCGGGCGCGCACCAACGCACCACTTCTCCAGCCATGCTGAGGCCGCGTCCCACATACAGCAACTAGAAGGATGTGCAACTATGACGTACAACTATCTACTGGGGCTTTGGGGAAAAAAATAAAAAATAAAAAAAAAAAATAAAAAATAATTGCTTTATGTACTTTCTGTGGCATGTCTAAGTGGCCAAAGGAACATATAAGTAATTCTCTTTGAAAGCATCGAAACTAGGCACTCAATGAGTTTAATCTATAGAGGTCTACCAATAATTTTAAACAGACCATAACACAATTTTATTTAATATGAAAAGATACTTCAGATCAGAGAAAGCACCAATGAACTCAGGATTATACCTCAATAAAAAAATGATCTCACTTCTTACCTGCCTTCTGGTTCATTCTACCATCAGGTCCACTTTTCTCTCACTACCTCCCATCCCCCCCATGGACAGAAAGTGAGACTTAATTCTAATTTTCAGAATATGCATTTTACTCAATTAAAAAAAACTTTCTCAGCCTATCAGGATAAAAAAACTACCTTGTTTATACCAAGAAGTACACTTCAAATACGCCAAATTCTTTTGTCAAAGTACCACTAGTTTTTGTCATGTGTAGTTTATTTGCATATTTATCTGCAACAAGATTTCAATGTATAATTCGAAGGGCTAAGCTAAGTAATCTGGTTTACAGGGTAGTTTGGTTTGAAAACAGCTGGAAGTGGACGCACACCTTTAAAGGAGCTCACATGGAGAGTCGTTGGAGGTTGAGTATGCATAAATCATCCTAATACAGTGATTCATACCGTCTGTAAAAAAATCAAAGAAAAGCTTAGATGTGGGTCTATATTTATTTTTATTTTTATTTATTTATTTATTTTTTTTGGTGAGGAAGATTACCCCTGAGCTAACATCCAACACCAATCCTCCTCTTTTTGCTGAGGAAGACTGGCCCTGGGCTAATATCCGTGCCCGTGTTCCTCCACTTTATAGGGGATGCTGCCACAGCATGGCTTGACAAGCAGCACGTTGGTGCGCGCCCGGGGTTCTGAACCCCCGAACCCCGTGCTGCAGTAGCAGAGCACGTGCACTTAACCACAGCGCCACCGGGTAGGTCCCTATATTTATTTTTAAAAAATTATTTCTTTTAAAGTAGAAATGGGTCCCAAATTGCTGCTTTGCTAGATATAGTTAAACTCTATCGCTCTTGTTTTATTGACTAGTTCTTAACCCTGAGGCTTATACCTGGGATAAGCATGCTTTAGGCATTCGTGAATGACTGTCAACAACCAAGCTACAAACAGAATGAGGTCATGGGGCACAAGGCTGTAATTCTTCTCGTGTTAATGACAGTACTGGAAGTCTGATACATTCCCAGTATGCATTCAAAACACTGATACCCGATAGTAGGTTGGGAAAAGAGAACCGGGACTCTAGCTTAAGGGGGGAAAAACTGAGAAGTCATAACTACTCCAAAGATGTGAAGGAAACCATAAAAGACACAGACTTGATTCTGCTGTAAAAAAGGAAACGAATCACTCCCTTGGGGTTGATACACTTAACCGTTTCAGCCCATTGGAGTCCTGCCTCTTTCATGGCTTTAACTACTATTTAATGTCGTGGAAAAGGAGATGTCTCCAAACACAGAGTGCCATTTACCAAAAGAAACAGGCTTTCTTAGCAATGTGGAACTTAATAAGGAAAAATATTTATCCGTGCCTTGCACAATTTTCAAAAGCCATTATTTCTATTCAGTTTTTGGTATTTACTATAGTACTAGATACAAAGTTAACAAAATAAAAGCTTGTTGAATGAATCCCAAGATGAATGAAATGATACAGCAGTAATTTCTTGAGAGCTCAAATGCCATTATAGTGACCCTGGGAGGCAGTCCTGTAAGGGTCTGGGCTACAAGAAGAGGGCAGTGCACGGCACAAATGGGCCTGACCTGCTGCAAAGAATGCTCATTTTCAAGAACATGATGCTTAAATGAGGTAAAATTTGGAGGTCACCACCCCAACTAGCAGATGCTAGCCCGCACCAAGGTAAATATCAAAAACTTTCACTGCTCAGTGTTAAATCAACCAAAATAACCACAGGTTCCTTCTGGGTACCTCAAAAGAAAAAAACATGTGTGAGGAATATTTCAAACACTCACTTTCAGATTAATGAAACGATATAAATTAAAATCAGTATCAACTAATAATTGAACAATAGCAGAATAACAAAATATAAACCTGACTCTTCTGGTGTATAGTAGTCAAAATGGTTTGCTCACATTTGTTAAAATCAGAACCGAAACAATGACATGTACAAAAGACTAGATAAAGTGGTCCTGCACTACAGTCCAGTGTATCATTCAAGTTCCATTCCCTGATTTCAACTGATCACGTATGTGGACTCAACAGAGTGTCAGGGGGACTCAAAATCATCTCGCCTGGAAGCACTCGCCATTTCAGCGAACACTTCTGGCCCATCCTCATTTCAAACGCCAGCACAAGTGGTCTCTCTGAGACTTTGGGACTTGCTTTCTTCTTTTTCCTCTGGTATCGTCTCCCAGATTGGCTCCTTGATGTGTTCTGGCAACCGTTCTAATTTTGTCTAAAAAGAGAAAAACAAAACTATAATATAATGTGGACTTAACTGAACCCTTAGGCCACAAATTAGATTTATTAATTTTGATCCCTTGAGTCCTCTTTACTTTTTTTCTGTTACTCCTCTCATCTTTTTGTAGGGTTTTGAACCAGAGAGGACACTTGACGGTATATAAATCAACACTCTCATATGATCTGTTTGATCCTCAATGATCTCAAGGGACTACCAATTAACGTGGTCCCCATGCCTAGACAACTATTAAGAAGGAGGGAGACTTCAGAGGCATCTCAGAAAGGATGTGGGCTATAGTAGCAGGATTCTGTTGAGCTGCCACCACTACATAGGGAGGCGGAGACCCCCAACCACTGTGGCAACTCTGCCTCCAGGCCCCCCACAGGCCCTCCCCTCCGCTCAGCAGGCCAGGCCCAGGCTACAATGTATCAAAACAATAATACAGATCTCTCCCCAACAGAGGAAGAAATTCAAGTCATACCTTTGTAACTTCCATGGCTACTCCTTCAGGTAAGTTTCGCTGAATATATTCCAAGTAGACATCTGCTGTACTTCCAGTTAGACGTTCTAACTAAAATTTCAAACACGAAATTGGTTCATGCTATGCTGTTAAAGCAGAAATTTTAAGTTTTCTTTCATAAAAGTGGTAGGGCCTTTTCTTCCTCTATGAAATCGTACACAGAATCCCAATTTCAAAGGAAAATAGTGTAGATCCTCTGCTTGAACTGGATGAGGAGAGCATGGCCCTGAAGGCCCCTCCTCCCAAATGCCTTAAAGCCAGGATCTGTGGAACCCAGCTGGCAAGCATGGTATCAAAGCAGTACACTTATAAGAGTTTCACAAAACAACGTGAGACAAAAGGGAACAAAAGACTACATTATAAGGCAGAGTTAGTATAAGATTTTTTGTGTGCTACATCACAATGTGTTTCTGTCAGACATGCGTGGATAAAATCTGAGATTTTTCTTTTTTTTTTCTTTTTTTTTTTTTTGTGAGGAAGATCAGCCCTGAGCTAACATCCATGCTAATCCTCCTCTTTTTTTTTTTGCTGAGGAAGACCGGCTCTGAGCTAACATCTATTGCCAATCCTCCTCCTTTTCTCCTCCAAAGCCCCAGTAGATAGCTGTTATGTCATAGTTGCACATCCTTCTAGTTGTTGTATGTGGGACGCGGCCTCAGCATGGCCGGAGAAGCGGTGCGTTGGTGCGCGCCCAGGATCCGAACCTGGGCCGCCAGTAGCGGAGTGCGTGAACTTAACCGTTAAGCCACCGGGCCGGCCCGAGATTTTTCTTTTTAATTTAAGGGTAGGACTATGTCTTAACCATATTTGTACCCTCAATGCCTAGTACAGTGCTTCCCATATAAAAGATGCACAAGCACTTGTTTTAATAACATTTGCCATCATTTACGATGCAATGGAAGTATTCTAAGTGCTTTAGATAAACACCTCATTTAATCCTCAAACTAACCTTATGAGGTGGCCACCCTTTTTATTTCCATTCTCCAGATGAAGGAATTGAGGCATGGGTCACACAGCTTGCAAGTGCCGTACTTGGACTTGGCTATCTGACTCTAGAACCCATGATCTCCTTAACCACATGACTATGCTGACCCTAATGGATGCACAAATGAATAACAGATGAAGGAAAAACCTTAATGCTGCCCATCATGGACGTGGAAAACCCAGTTAGCATGTGAAATGAATTATTAGAACTGTGTGAAAATGTAACTAGAATTTCTGAAATATAAGCAAAATTATTCCAATGCTATCTTATTGTATAAAAACTAGTCAGCATCATCTGTATTACTGAGTTCAAGTATGAAATACTCTAAAGGATGGCTTTACGTCAGTTTAATTTTCCTATCATGTCAGTTCCATAACCACAAAAAGACATTTACCTTCTTTACAACTATCAGGCATGGCTCACTTAAAGGAAGTCAACCCAGTCAGTGTTAAAGGAAAGTTATGATACGCTAGTGTGAAATTTGGGCATTTCAAAAATGCCTGAATGTCTGAAATAAACTCACCTCTAAACATCTATACAGTGTTCTCATCTCATACTGAACTCTGTGCTTCTTGAAAATATGCACTGATTTGAGAAGAGTAAATCGTTCTATTTTCCTTGGAGGTTCATGTCTGAAAAATTAATAGGCAAAACAACATACTTAAGCTAAGCGATGTTAAAACCTGAGTCACTGATATCAAAGTACAATGACACAATCTTGTAGGTCAGGCTCACACTCAATTATAGGCATTAAGTACCATTTATAGACTTCCATTTGTCAAGACTGTCATCTATAACAACTGCTGTCATAAAGCTCAAGCCAAAACAAACACCACAGATAGTAACAGGAACATTTTTCCACGGACCCAAAAATGAGCCTTGGCATGTAAGCGCAGACACGCACACCTCCAGGTTTTACAGGCTTGAAGTCCCTTACTGACCAAATATATGAATGGTGAAGAGTAGCACCAGTGTTGGACAGTTACCTCTCCTGTATGTGTTATTTTAGGAGAATCTACAGAATCATTGATAATCATGAAACTACAGTCTGTTATGGGAAATGTGTGGGTTCCTTTGGTTTTGTTAGAAGAGTGGTAAAGCCCCAAATGGGCCTTGTTCAATAGCAGAAGGAGCAGGTGACAAGACAAAGGAGGTAGATATACTCGACCCCGCAGTGACCTCAAGGCCTCATGCTGTTCGCCTTGCTCATGCATGAAATTACTGGGTGAGAGGTGGTTCTTAACGCAGTTTTGAAACAGTGGATATAATATTAGCCCAGATCATCAAATCCAAAGAGTCTAAAAGGATTGCCTGTTCACCTCATCTACCTCCCTGTCCCATGGAGATCCCAGACACAAGGGCTTCTTGGGTTCCCCTACATCTACGTAATTTCTAAAGTCTTTCCTTCATTTTCCTTGCTCACTCTTTCTTAAAAATTCTAGTGGACAGGAAGGGATGATCCTGTGTAGGATAACATGACAAACCTAAACTCTACCTATCTTGAGTTTCTATCTAATTTTAAGGGGTCAGACCTAGTCAAAATCAGCACCATTGTCCTGGTTGAGTTGTTACAGCAGCTAACAGGTCAGATTAGGAAAGATCATACTCACACTTTAATAGAGATACCAAGTTCTTTAGCAGCAAGCACGACAAAATATTCATAACTGTCCAATACAGCCTTATCATGGCCCTTTACTAAAACTGACAGGCGCTTATATAACGTGTCTGGTTCATCAGAAACGGTTATCTACAATTTTAAAATCAAAAAGAAAAGTTTCAGTTGTGGTTCCTCTAACATTTATAACTGGAAAACTTAACATATTACCGTCAATTGAACAACTTCAGAGTTTACTAGCAGATTGGGAGAAAAATGCTGAGTAACATCCTAATGCTGTTAGCTTAAGTGTCTAGATACTATCACATTCAGATCCCCACAATGACCCTTAGAATCTGTTAAGATACAGTTTGAATCAAAAGGGCTTTCAAGCAACCTACAAAACCACTAATGGAACCTCCTAACTTAATAGTTATTGAGCACCAAAAACACAATGGGAAAGGGTTTTTGGGTCTGTTAACAAAAGTAGCCTGGTCAGAAGACCTGGACTGAGAATTAAACTTCTGGCTGAGTGACAATGGGAAAGTCACATAATCTCACTGCACCGCAGTTTTCTCATATATAAAACAGGATAACACCTATGCCATAGCTCACAGCATTTCTGTAGGGAACAAGAAAACACACATTAAAGTGTTTATAAATTATAAAACATTGTTACACAAAGGTGAGCTAGTGGTATTCATATTCTTTTTTATTTGGTTTTATTCATGTATGTTTTGCCTGCCTTAATAGAAAAATTACCCATTTCTAATTAAAATGTTATGACACTGACTGTACATATAACTTCTACCTCTTCTACCCTAACACTTAAAGATCTTAGAAATAATGGGTTTGACATTTCTGACTTTCTTCCAAGAGATGAATTATCTTCATTTCATTCATCCATTAAACCAGTAATTTCTATTACTAATGCAATGATTCAGGGGTAAATTACTTCACCCTGAAAGCAGGTCTACTTACTAACCAGGAAGCTAGACATTCACTCTCAATTACCCCAAGAGGGTTCTTGGAAGAACAGAATATACTGATATCCCACCTCATAAGTTGGGGGACAAGGGAGGGGGAATATAGCCCTAAGATGTGTTCTGATTAGTCCCTGTAGGGTTTTAGAGATATTATGAATCTGTTACAAATAGGAGTTATTGCATAAAAATTAGGATTTCAGCTTAGCTTGGAAAATTTCGACAATCTGACATCACTAGGGCTGATTTCCCACAAGGCAACAAATGGCTAAAGTAGCAGCTGTCTTGCTTACAAAGGGCACAGCCTGACACTGTGCCCATCCTGTCACCTCTCCTTTCCTGGCCCACACCGGCATCTGAGTTAGAGACCCGAGGTTTATTTGTATTGTTGTGAAAATGTATCTAGTATCTATTAAGTGAAAAAAATGAAACAGCAGTACTTTATGTATAATACGATTCCATTTTGGTGTGCACGTGCATAGATATAATGATTACAGAAAAACGTCTAGAAGGATGCATACCAAACTGTTACAGGGGATTATTTTTGAGGGGTGGAACTGAAAGGATTTGGAATTTGTAAGGATTTTTAAAAATTACAAATAACACAAAAACTGGGTTGACAGAATCATGGCTCTTACTTAAAGGAAACACGGTTACACAGCCACCTCCGGATTTTCTTCACTTGTGGTAATGTTCTTTCTCACTGTGAACAATAAAGCATTGTCCAGGCCCAGGCTCAGTATCTTAAATGAAAACTGACTCAAAGGCTATAAGAAAAAAATTCTTCTATGACATAATATCAAATATTCTGCATCATTAATTATGACAACTCTTCACATCATGCTGAGCTAAAAGCAAGACTGCTCATTCCCACGGTTATTTGGGGTATGTAATTTTTTCCTTTAGAACTTAACTTGATACTCTGAAAATTAACAGGAGCCCCCAGGGCCATGAGATACTACTTTACTCAGGCACGCTGCGCATCTGCCAGTATTCGGGAACAAAATTTTTTTGTTCATAGTGTTTGGGAAACAGCCTCAAGTGAAATAATGAGGAAAATGTATTGCTAATGTAGCTCCTTATGCCAAGAAACAGGGAGTACATACCGTAGGCTTAGTCACATCCTTGGGCACGTCAATGTGTAGGTTTGAAAACTGTACCCACTTCATATTGGTACTGCTACGTGTGGAAACAAAGAGACACCTAAGTAAAACGACACAAGAGCCCATTTTCATATTCACTTTAGCTCATCCAACTATACTTACAGAAGAAAGCCACCACTGTTGGCTGTACTGCTCTTAGGACTGTTTACAGAAAAGTTCCTCGAACCCTTAAAGAAAATAAAGGGGGTACATGCGTTAGATGAAAGTCAATCCATACACCATTCATAGTTTCCACTAAAAATCAAAAGATGCATGATGCTTCAAATAAAGGGCTACCTCATTATTTCAGACGAAGATATTAGGGTAACTAAAATACCAAATTAGATTTCATTCAAAAAAAGAGGACAATGGTAGAGTTGATAGTCAAAAGGACTCTCAAAATACTAGAGATCAAAAATTTTTTTTTTTGCTGAGGAAGAATCACCCTGAGCTAACATCCATTGCCAATCTTCCTCTTTTCTTCCTTTTGTGTGAGCCACCACCACATCATGGCCGCTAATAGATGAGTAGTGTAGGTCTGTGCCCAGGAACTGAAGCCAGGCCACTGAAGCAGAGTGTGCTGAACTTAACCACTAGGCCACCAGAGCTAGCCTGGTTCTATATCTTTTAAAGCTCAGAAGCAAGAACTTTTTTTTTTTTTTTTTTGGTGAGGAAGATTGGCCCTGAGCTAACCTCTGTGCCCATCTTCCTCCACTCTATATGTGGGATGCCTGCCACAGCGTGGCTTGATGAGCACTGTGTAGGTCCGTGCCCAGGATCCAAACCTGTGAACCCCAGGCTGCCAAAGCAGAGCATGCGAACTTAACTACACCACTGGGCTAGCCCCAAGAACTTTTTAATTTTTATTTTTATTTTATTTATTTTTTGTGTGTGAGGAAGATCAGTCCTGAGCTAACATCTGATGCTAATCCTCCTCTTTTTGCTGAGCAAGATTGGCCCTGGGCTAACATCCGTGCCCATCTTCCTCTACTTTACATGGGACGCCGCCACAGCATGGCTTAACAGTGTGTCAGTGCACACCCAGGATCCGAACCTGCAAACCTTTGGCAGCCGAAGCGGAGCGCGCACACTTAACTGCTTCACCACCAGGCCAGCCTCCACAAGAACTTTTTTAAAAAAGCAAGTCTCACATTAAAAGAACAGCTATGAATTAAATATGTGGACATCGAGGAACAAAAAATATATGACTTCATTTTCCCATTATTTTCTACAGATTAAATGTACTTCAATATAATACTTATTTTGCCTGAACAGTTTTGAGCAATAAAAAAATTCGTCTTTATAATTTAATTTAAGAGTTGGAATAAGAATTCTCAAGTACCATTCTTTTGAAACGTCCATACGTCTTTTTCAGCATATGTATTTCTTGGCTTGGCTGGGATAACTAGCTTATACATAAATTGAAATACACACTGGAACTTACACCCATCTTACATCACTACTGCGCTTCATAATACAACCCAGAATTTCCAAATCCTTTATCGTCAGCTCCCCCTGGTGGAATAAAACTTCTAGTTGTAGGAAACCCATGGTACTATATACAATATGTAATTTGCCATCTGTTTTTCACTTAAACTTTCCTGAGGTCTAAAAGTGTAACCTGAGAAAATGGAAGCACAACAGGATCCTTAAAAATACTTTGAAGATGAGAATAGCAGTTTAGTACAAGTGAAACTTAATTAAAACAAGTGAGGGTCACTTAAGTATGTTTAAAAAAAGCTTATTCTTAGCTTATTGTCCTTCTCCCCCTCTTCACCCCGAGGCAAATCAAAACTTTCATACTATCCCTTGGATCAAGGGGGAAAAATAAAAAGAACAAAGGAAATCAGGCACAATACAAGGCAGTAAGAGATCTGTGCCATTCTCCACACATAATCACAGAGAGAACTCCCTCCCCACATTTACGCCAGTGACCCCACAATCCAGTTGTGTTACGCCAGTGACCCCACAATCCAGTTGTGCAAAAGCACCACAGGGCTAAAGAATATGGCACTTCCCAGTCACATTCTCCCAGTATAAATAAACCTCCGCTTTTAAAAGTTGGAGCCTAAAGTGCTGTTACATCCACAAATCAACCTTAAGTAAGAAGTTCTTAAGTTTTCTTTTTTTTGAGGCCCTGGAGTATGGTCTAGGTAAGTGTGTCTTAGAAAATTTCAACCTCTAATACCATCTGACTTAAGATCAGTGGTTCTCAAAGTGCAGTCTAAGCACCTCTGATGGGCCGGAGACACTTTCAGGGGGTCTGGGAGATTAAAACTATTTCCATAATAATAGTAAGACGTTACTTGCAACGTTCCCACTCTCCTTCTCTCACCAGTGTACCGTGCCGTTTTCCAGAGGCTGCGCGAGGTGTGATGTAGCAACAGACTGCAGAAGCAGATATGAGAATCCAGCTGTCTTCTATTAAGCCAGACATTAAAGAGATTTGCAAAAACACAAACTATTGCCACTCTTCTCATTAAATCTGTTTTGGAAAATTTGGTTATTTTCCATAAAAATGTTAATTATGTTAACACCTAATGAGTTTATTAGTGTTATCTTTAAATGAATAAGCATTTTTAAGATTTTCAGTTTTGTTTTCTAATAAGCTAAATATGGATAGCTAAAACCCAAAGCTCTTTGGAGTCCTCATTTTCAGAGCATAAACAGATGCTGAGGCCAAATAATATAAGAACCGCTGCTTACGTTTTTGCTTTTTCTCCAAAGAACCGCGCAGAGGACATCTAACCCGCTCCTCTGACTTCAGCGACTCTCATCCAAACCTCAGAACCCCGGGTATCAGGAAGGTATCTCAATTCGGTTCCGTGGTAAGCGTCTAAGATCTCGTGCCAGCTCAGCCCCCCATTTTCGCGAGGCAACCTTCCTGTCTTCTCTGAGCCTCAGTTTATTTTGCAAATGAGAAAGGAGAGGTATGGAACACCTGATCTTCAATCCAGCCCTGACACTCTACGATTCTTCTTGTTCCTGTTTGTGCCCTGACTCATTATGTTTTATCCCATGGGAGAATTCGACATAAAATCAGCACCAACAGCCAAAGTGCGGAATAAATATCGGGAAGGCTCTCGATGGGCAGAACGACAGGTGGCAGCCGGATTTAGTGGCAACCGTCCCTGCTGGCCCGCCTAGTCCCCCCAGCCCGCCGGGTACCTGCCAAAGACGCCGGCACACAGCTCCAAACGCCACCCGCGCCGCCATCTTGCCGTCTCAGCCTCCAGGATCGCTTCCGGGGTCACAGGGGCATCCTCAGACCATAGAGTTCCGCAATAGGAGAGAGTATATCTCTGTGTTCCGGCACAGGAACAACCATAGAGACGCGACTTCGTGCTTTGAGGAGGCCGTACCGAGGCGACCGCTGGCGTTCGTGGGATCGGCGCCCTGGCTGGCACTGGTGTTGATAAAGTTGCTTCAGCCCGTATCTAGATAGTTACCAGATTCCATCAGTGTTTTCTTCTTTAAATCGTGTTTGTCCTATGTGGTTACTCTTTTGTTGGAGGCAAACATAACAAACACATGCTTGGAAAAAGTATATAACTATATAATGATGGCGGTTATCTCCGGGGTGGATTAAGGATTGATTTCTTTTTTGTTTCTGTATTTTTCAAAATTTTAACAAAATCTGTGTTTCATTTAAAAGAAAAATAGAAGTTTACCACTCCGTTGAGTCCAGGTCCCATCCCTTTACCTCACTAGTAAGTAGCCTTGTAGTTCCTTCCCTGCACTAATTGGCATTTTTATGCTCCAGCCGTCCTGCACACGGCTGTCCTACTGATCTTCCTAAGTCCTCATCTGCTTATGTTACTCTAGTATTTCAGAATTTACAATAGCTGCCTTCACCTAGTACCACAAGCCAAAAAGTATTATAACCAAAAAGGGTCTGGTTATTAATGTCCACCATAATTTAGCTGCAACTAAAAGGCTTATAACTGGGGATTGCTGTAATAAAAATTTCTTGCATTTGTGCAGTTCTCTAAGCTTTATTTCCTCCAAGTGCTTTCACATATGCAATTTAGTATCATGGAAAACTCGAGGCTTATAATCAGGAGATCTGGATTGTAAAGTCAGGTAACACTTAACTGAGTGTTAAGTGGGCAAGTTACTTCCCCACCCTAAGCCTCAATTTTCTCATATATCAACTAGAGATGACAATAATAGTTCCTACTTCAAGCAGTTGCTATGAGGATTAAATGAGATACTAATGTATGATGTACATTAGTACAATGCCTGACACATAATAACGGAAGATAAATCTCATCCACTATTTGTAACACAAAGTTGCTTCTATCTCACCTGTCTCACAAGATTATTGAGAAGATTAAAAATAAAAAGATCAAGTTTATGAGAACATTTTGTAGCATACTGTGCAAATGTAAAGTTTTTTTTTCTCCTCACAAGTAGGTGTTACTTATCCTATTTTGCCGGCAAGAGAACCAAGGAAGGGGTAGAATGATTTACCCAATGTCAAACGAATTGATGAAAGATCTGGGACCAGAAACTAGTTTCCCTGCCCCTCAGACTGGTTTCTGTTCACTAGAACCCAGGCCACATGGAGGTGTGGTAGAGATGCCTTGTGTGGTCCTACAACAGAGTGTGGAAACACCCCACTTCACCTGTGTGCACCTGTGCGGTGCTTGGCTGTGGCCCACCTTGGCAGGCTGCCCAGTCCCCTTTTTGGAACTATGCTCTCTGGATTGTGACACTCTAAGTTGGCTGGTCTCTCTCAGCCAATGGGGTTTTCCAACAACCCTCTGACTCTGTTGCTGCTTCTGAAGTTTGCATCAGTCTGTCTATATGGCATTTCTGTGATGGCTCCTCAGCCTGTCTCTGCCCGCTTTGAGTAGCCTTAGCTGGATGAGGGTTCTGTGGCCACAATGACGGTGACATTACAGCTTGCAAACAACTTTCACCTATGTTACCTAATGTGATCCTCACAAGAAGACACAAGTTTTATCCTAATTTTATAGGCAAGGAAACAGGCTCAGAAATGAAACGACCCATTCAAAGTCATATGGTGGGTGAGGTCGTTACAGCTGAACCAATAACCATCTTCAAAATCCTAGTGTAGTGCCTTTTCCACCTCTGCAGCAGGCTGATGCTGACTCTATGATGAGGTCCAGTTCTATTTACGTCTCTTTTGAATGCAAGGAATAGAGATCCCCACTTCCCTACCCTCCCACAAGAAAAGGAGTTTGTTTTTTATTTTTAAGAACACATGTAGCCTGGACTGCTCCTGCAACTGGAAAAGTGGGCTCAAAGCAGCCTTAGGGACTGGATGCCCTCTCTGGGGCCCAATGTAGTCTCTTTATTGATGGGCTTCCTCTGCTTACAAATAGTTTCTGCTCCCTCAGAACTCTGCCTGGTACATGGCCACAGCTTGCTGCCTTCGGTTCACCAACTTTCTCCATTCATACTCTCAAATGTGGGAATTTGATTTGATCTTGTCATTTTCCTGGGCTAAGCATGTCACATGTCATCAGACAACCTATGGGCCTTGTAGCATGGGGTCAGGTGCCAACCCTGGTCCAATTAGCTGGGGGCAAGGTGGGAGTCATTGTGAGGGGCAAACCCAGGTTTTGCCAACAGTGGGGCTATGGCCAGGGCCCTTTGGTGTGGTGCGTGGTCGTGGACAGTGTTCTGAATCTTGGCCTGTCCATTATGGGTCTCTTCCCCACCACCTAATCTTTCAGACCTCTGACATAACGTAGATGAGCAGGAAATCAAATGATTCTAGATAGTTGATGCAAGTACTCTTTGCTTTAGCCAGCCCTGGTGGTCTAGTGGTTAAGATTTGGCACTCTTACCGCATAGCCGGCGTTCATTTACCAGTCAGGGAACCACACCACTCGTCTGTCGGTTGTCATACTGTGGTAGATGTGTGTTGCTGTGATGCTGAAAGCTATGCCACAGGTATTTCAAATACCAGCAGGGTCACCCATGGTGGACAGGTTTCAGTGGAGCTCCAGACTAAGACAGACTAGGACGAAGGACCTGGCCACCCACTTCTGAAAAAATCTGGACATGAAAACCCTGTGAATAGCAGTAAAGCATTGTCTGATATAGTGTGGGAAGGTGAGAGGATGGTGCAAAAAGACTGGGCAGGGTTCTGCTCTGCTGTACACAGGGTCGCTAGGAATTAGAATCAGCTTGACAGCACTAAAAACACCTTGCTTTATACCCAGGAAAAATGAAAGTAAATGCATCAAATATTTCTAAGTTAAATCATATTTTGATTGCAACAGATGTTCTGTCTTGAAAGACCGCCCTTTTCCCTTGATTGTGATGGTTTCATAGTTATATACTTATCTACAAACGCATCCAGTTGTATACAATAAATGTGTATGGCCTTTTATATGTCAACCATCTCTCAATAAAGTGGTTAAAAAAAAAAAAGAATTGGCAATACTGCCCAAAATAAAATTACACAAGCAGAGGAAGTAATGACCCAAAACAGCTCAAAGTGAGATCAGTGTTGTATGTAACAATGTGTGTTGGGATGCAAAGCAAGCATGTATGGCTGCTCTGGCCTTTACAGAAACATTAATCACTTCCCTTGGGGTGGGTGGGGGTGGGAAGACAGCCCTTTTCAAAAGATTCTCTCTCTTATATAAAGGAAATAATCAGCCCTTTGGCTCTTTTATACAGGAATATCTGTGATCCAAAGATCACTACAGTCCACTAAGGAATATATTATTCAATTTCTTAACATGACTTCCTTATTACGTTTTGCCTAGGTCAACATTAATACTCGTCCTCATTCCTAGAGCACATCTCAGCTGCTGGCTGTGGCTGAGGAAGATAGACTGGGAGTCCATTCAGAATTGACTTTGGGTAAACTCAAAAGAGGTTTTATTTACACACACACATGAATAAGCATATCTGGAAGATCAGAGAGAGAATTAATGTAACAAACAGTTGCTGAGCACCTGTTATAAATTGCTATGTATGTCTGGTTGATGGTGAGGAGGTTCAGAATATCAATGAAGCATGACCTTTGCTCTTCCCACTGGTGGTATTGGATCAGTTCCCAGGGCTCCCTATGTTCTTTCTAGGTATTAAATTCCTAGACAGGAAGGAATGATGTCACAGTCATCTTTATATAGTCAACTCCCCCATGTATAATACAGTGTGGTCTAGTGCCTGATACCTGGGGCTCATGAGTACTGAATGAATGAATATAACAGTAGGAGAAAGTCTTCAGATTGGACACTCAAGCTCCTGGATGCAGAATTTAAATTTACAACACTGGCTAAATGCACACTGCTTCCAGAGGAATAGCTATTTCATTTGATACAGGACTGCCTAAATTTGAGAGCTGGCTAAATTTGAGAGCTAAAATGAAAGCAAAAAAACCCCACAAAGGAACCTAGAAGATCAAGCACTTGAAGAGGTTTGTTTGCCCCATCGAAAGCAAATTCTGTATAAAACCCAGAATTTCTGATTTCTCCTAAAGTTGGTTGTTGACCATTAAAAAGTCAACACACTCTTTAGAATTTGGAAATCCAGATGAGCAATGCATATAAACCAGGAAGGATGGGGCTTTGTGGAGGGTTCACTGTGAGATGCCTGTGTGTAATATTGAGTTTCCCTAAACTGCTGTCTGAGTTCAATGGGTAGAGACCACCAACACTTCAAGGGGCTCGTCCACTTGTCAAGTAGCAGAAATCTATGTCCTGGCCCCCCAGGTGGGGGTGGGGGCACTTTAATGAACATTAAATCTGATCAGCAGACCTCTAAACTACAGGTCTACAGAAACCAACAAACAGGTAAATTAGCATTTATCCAGCATTGAGAAGTCATTTCAGTGGCTAGAAAGAAGGAATGTTTAAGCCAAATGAAACTCAAAAAAGATAACATTTTATTTTCAGAGCAGCTGACGCAATGTTGAATCAGGTTTTCACAAATAAATACGACAGTGTCTATTTGGTTACATCTCTATTTGATGAATGCCTATCTATAGGAACTGTAATAAATTTCCGAGAAGGCTAATGACTGGAACTTTGTAAGTAAAATTCTCCTGGCTTTCTTTCTGAAAAAAAGTACTGTGATAATTTAGAAAAATGCTTATCACTTGGGGGAAAACCAACCTAGAATGCCCCAGTTGTTTTTGTTTTTAAGGAATGCACCTTTTTAGGACAAGTCTATAAAACATCTTTATTTATTTGTTACATATGATGTTTAAATATAACTTTGCTTTCAAGCTTCAAACTTTTTTAAACTCCTGGTAAAATAAGACTTTTGGTTCACCTTAACAAAAACTGACCTAGGAAGAAACATTTTTAGCAAAATGTATTATAAAATTCACTAGAAAATACTGTCTTCTTTTTTTTGCCAAAATGTTACATAAAATCCTTATTAAAAATACACACATTACAAAAGAAAAATTATGAATATGCTATACATAGTGCTTTTGATATGGACCAAGGGACCTGCATTCCGGGGAAAATACAGTTAAGCACACTAGATATTATGAATGTCAACTTATAATAGTGCAAACCTGAATAAATTACATCCTGAAATGGGAAGGCATGCAAGTCATTTGCTGAGAATAGAACATAACGAAGCCAGAACAGGAAGCAATCACAACCACTATTTAAAAATGTTTTCATTTTTATTACATTAATTTTTTTCAAAAATACTTTTCTTTACAATAGAACTCCTAGAAAATATTTACAACCTTCCTCTAATAAAATATAACAGCAGTTAAATATATTTGAAAATAAGATGAGTTTTTCCATAAAATATATCTGTTAACTTTTTATATACAAGCTTTCTTAAAGAGGTCTAAATTCACTAATGAAAAACCATCTATAGTAAACAGTAACCGTGTTGAAGACATTAACCATTAGGAAGAAAAGTTCTTTGGGGTGGGGAGCAGTGGGGGGAAGCTAAAACACATCACATACATGCAGGCAGAATCATTTCAGAAAAAAAATAAGTGCAATATTTTACTATGAAGTCATTCTTTAAGTTGATATTGTCAAGAAATACTAATTCAGGAATTTGAACTGTCTCTTTAAGGAGGAGTTCTTTGGTTATTTCAAGTCAAAAATGCTTAAACACTATACTGCATGGAAAACCAAAATTAAATTGTGCATTATATTTTTGCCTTGGCAACTCAGTTTATTTTTAAGGTTTAAAACTGGAACGGCTGGGCAAATCTCCAAACAGAACTAATACATTTGCTTTATAAACATTTTTCTGGGTGTTTGCTCCTTTGATAGATAAGCTTTCATAGATCCAATAGCAGAAGCATTCCAGAATCACTCTCATACACCCGCGACCGGCAGGAAGTAGTCACGGAGACAGATGCGATCAGCCCATGCTACAGTAGGAATGGTTCTGGAATAGCTCTGCCATAAAGTTGATGCACATGGCCCAGGCGGTTCTGAACTCAAAACACAGGATAGAATGACCCGTCTGAAATGGCAGCAAATAAAACGCTTTTTTTTCCCCTAAAGAAAAGATGAAGGAAATCTCCCCAAGACCTCTTTTCTGAAAACAGAGTGATGGAAATGAAAAGAACCTTTGCATTTATCTTTTGTCCATGGCTTTCCTGAGATTCGGAGAACGTTGCCTGTGTGGGGCCGCTGTGGCCCACGAGTGTGCATGAAATGCTTTTGCAGAGACAAACTTAAAAGATGCTCAAGGCTTGTCCTCACGCTTCCACTGACATTCACATTAATGTCAAGCTGTTCATGTGCCAGCAAACTGGCCTGGCATGACCGCCACACCTCCACGAGCTGGGAAACCAGCCTACCTGGGGTGGGGCAAGGCCTGAAAGCCCCCGTCCTGGAAGTCATGCAGCATTAATGCTAAGGGGGAGCCACCAGAAGCAGCCCGCCTGTGCTGGGGCTGTGTCCCAGTCTGAAGGTGCGCACTCATTTGCCCCAGTGGGATGGGGCAGTCTGACTCAGCTCAAAAGCCTGAGCTAAAAGCCATTTTTGAAGGATTACAGGTTTATTACCTTCAAGTACAAACAGCAACCCTGCTATCGGGACAGGAGGAGGCAGAGCAGAATTATGTGGCTTAGAGAATTCTAGAAGTGCTTTGGTAAATGACTTTAATGAATACATTCATTGTTTGAATGCAAACATTGCAGGTAAAGTGGTATCTGAAACCATTTTTGTTGGCCTTTAATGCTATTTCTCTTCTATTTGCTATCAAATTTGTTAGAAAACGTTTTTTCGCATAGCTAGCTTCAAGGTAAACTTCGGTCCAGCATAGGAGAATTATAGCAAAATCCCGGTGAATGAGGTTTCACAGTACTTGCAAGCGGCACAAAGTAATTACAGAACTCCACTGACCACTAACAGTGTTGCAAAAAGGAATGGGCTCTTCTGATTTGGTTTTTGGGGGAAAAAACCCTTGTTGGCATTCCAGATACTTCAAGGTGTGCCCCTCAACCACCCTCCCGAACAACATTCTTAGCAACTTAATAGTTGAGGTTATTTTCCTCCACAAACATCTCCAGATGGCTCACGCTGAAACACGGTTCTGCCAACCCATGAGTCAGAGCCAACCGGTGCCCCCGGGGAACATGGAAGAGGACGCACTTGCTCTATGAACCAGGTCTTTAGTAACTCACTGCTGGGGAGTGCAAGCCAGAAATTATACAGTACTCAGTTCTGAGAAACAGGCCAATGAGTGACATACAAGGTGGGGAGAAAACTTATTTTCACATTTGGTCAACTTTTCAAATGACGTGTGTGCTAGAGGAAAGCCATGGAACACGAGGGCTTGCTTTTTGCTCTCTGAAAAGCTACCCCCTGGCATAGTCTCCTGGCAAAGATGCCAAGTTCACTGCAAACTACAGAATGAGGTGAGAACAGAACAAAAACAACTCTTGGTGGGAGAGGATGGCCCAAGGTCCCAGCACGAAGAGGGTAGCCTGCTTCACACACACATACCCATACACACACTCACTGCAAGCTTTGGGATAAAAGGCAACCAGGACAGTTGACATCTGAAAGCCAAAGACCACGAATGTCAGGTTCATTCCCTGCCAGGAATGATTTCACGGGAATGTAGCCCAGATGAAACACCTCTTAAACAGAGTTGTGCCAATTATTTATTCCCCCCAACCTCCCACAAAAACAAATTTTTTTTAAATAAAAGAAAAACTGGAATTTTTTTTCTAAACCGCAATAAAACGACCACTTTTTAAACAGGTAGTTTAAAATGGTTACAAAACAAGCAAGCAGTCCAGGTTTCCTGATTAATGAAGATGGAGGCCATGGGTTTTTGCTGTCTCTAAGCGACCAACAGGGCTTTATAGTTCCGTGTCACCCTGAAGCAAAACTGAATCTTGATCATCCAGGAGGAGATCGGCGTCCACAACCTCAGCCTCTTCCATGACGCCTCCTAACTGCTGGACCACGTCGTCGTCGAGGATGTCCACGTCCTTGATGGGTTTGATTAGATTCAGCTGGTCCAGGGGCAGCAGCCCTGGTGCCCCCACTGGCCCCGTAGTCCTCTCGATTGTGGCTGCCATTTCAGCCGCGAAAGCCGCCTTCTGAGCCTTTTGTCTCTGCTGTTCCTCTTGCTGCCTGTGAGTTTTCATGTGGGCATTTCGGCTTTTGATCTTGAAGAAGACTCTAAAAATGAAGAAAAGGCAGCATGTGAAATTTACAAGGAGACCTGAGTTCTTGCAAATCCAGGCATCCTATGGGGAATAAAGGGTGTGTGGTCTGACATCTGGTTTGGGGTGGCTCTGACAGAGTCCCCAGCTCCTTAGCTCTTAGGACCTCCTGCCCCCGTGACCTGTCATCTCTTCTCTCCAAGCATTACAAGGGAAAGCGGATGGGGACAGGAGCACATTTACAGTGTGTCAGGCTTCCTCCCTGTGACAGTGGAGGATGACTCCTCAAAGGCCTTCCTGTCCACCTGTGGTCTGGAGCACATGCCCATCACTCAGTAAGCCCTCTTGACCAACCCGAGAATCCTCTAATCATGCAGCGGAGCTCTGACAGTTCCCACCATAAGACAACCCATCACCTGCCTTTGGCTCCTGTCCCTGCTCTTCCTTCCACAGGCAGAATTCTTGAAGGATCTGCCTGCACACACTTGGCATAGGTCCCCTTCCCAACTGCCCTTCTCAAGGTCACCAGGAACTCAGTGTGGCCAAACCCAGTGGCCCCTCTTCTGTCTCTACGTACTTGGCTTCTGAGCTGCACCCTCTACTCCCGTCACCTAAGACCTCTCCTTCGTGGCCATCATATTATCATAACTTCCTACTGTTTGCTTTCGAATGAAATAGTGATGCTCAGCTGGGGGTGCTTTTGCCTTCCCAGGAACATCTGGCAATGTCTGGAGACATTTTTGATTGTCATAACTGGGGGAGAGGGGACGGTATTTCTGGCATCTAGTGGGTAAAGGCCACAGATGTGGATAAACATTCTACAATGCAGAGGGCAGCCCCTTCACCCCAAGCAAGGAATTATCAGACCCAAATGTCAGTGCTGAGGTTAAGAAACCCTGGGATAAGGGGTCTGCAAACTGTGGTCAGTGGGCCAAATCCAGCCGATTGCCTATTGTTGTAAATCGAGTTTTACCGGATCTGTTTGTTTACGGATCGTCTATTGCTGCTTTTGCGCTACGATGGCAGAGCTGAGCAGCTGTGACTGCTTAGCAAAGCCTAAAATATTTCTATCTGGATCTTTTTCATAAAAAGTTTGCCCAGATATGAGACCGCTTGTTTTTGGAGAGGGAGCAGTGTAAGTACTCTGTTTTCATTCCTGTGCTCATCAAGAAAAAAAATAAACAACCTGATTTCTAAGACCCGAGTCAAACAGAATTGATGAATCACAACTGGACATATTGAAAACTTTTTAATGTAATGAACGCAATTTCAGCAGCTAAAAGAGGCTTTCTGCAAACATTTGCCTAACTATATTCCTAGCCTGGAAAACCACAGAAAATATTTCTATTTTTCCATAAAATCCTAACTGGAGTTATGGTAGAAAAAGGTCCCGAGCAACATAAAAACAAGACAAAAACATTTAATGGATGTCACTGCAAGACAGCCAGAAAGCTCGAAATACTAATTTTTGTTTGTTAAAATGTCCTTTGTCTCCACCTTGTGGAGTAAAGACTAGCAGCCTGTTTGAGCGGAGTGAGTGGAGGGTGCTGGCTCCTCTCAGAGGAAACCGACAAGACCCCAACGTGCCCCCTCTTCTACCCCAAGGCAAACAGGAGGGAGAGAACAGAATCTGCCCTGGGAGGTTCCATTATTTCAAGTACACAAGCCTAATAATCAATCCGGGGGTCATTTCTTCCGTGGCACCATGAAGATGACATGTCTAGGCTCTGAAGGACATCAGAGCATGGAGGAAGGACTGACACCTAAATCCGTCTCCCCCATCTCTGCGCTTTAAGGTGGGAAAGAGAGCCGCTAGTTCCAATTCGCTCTGGCGGGTGCCAGCGCACGAGCCAGGTTTACTTAGCAGCTAAGAGCACGGCCTGGCCAGCCTGCTTGGTTTGAATCCCAACTCAGCTGTGCATCATGACCTTTCTGTGCCTCAGCTTCTCTGCTTGTAAAAAAAAGAAGCTACTAAAAGTACCCACCTTATTGGGCTATTCTAAAGATTAATCAATACATGTAAAAATCCTTTAAAACAGTGCCAGGCAAACAGTGAGCACTCGATAAATGGCAGCTACTATTAAGTTGCCTGAAATATCCTATGAGGATGTGTCTTACAAGCAGAAGTCCCAAGTGGCCTCACTCATACAACTGGGGATGTTTCCTTGGTAGAACGTCAGCAGCTACCTGGTCGGCACCTCTCCAGGTAACATTTCTCTTTATGTTTGAGGCACTGAGATTATGGGAGGAGAAACACTCCTGACAGTGTAACACCCCTCCACGTCAGGCAGACTCCCTGAGAAGTAAACTGGAATTCTATACCAGAGGCTGTGGGAGGGAACCGTGCGCATCTCACCATCAATGGTATCTTCTACCTAAAGTAAATAAACAAGCAAAGCAAACCAGTGGGATGGAGCCTGGTCAGAAGCCCAGGCTCTGCATCTGAATACAGCTGGGTTCAAATCTCAGCTCTGCTCTGACTGCTGGTGTGACCTGGGACAAGCCGTTTTACTCACTTTTAATCCTTATTAGTAAAACAAGGATAAAAACAGTATCTGCATCACCTGGCGTTTCTGCGTGAGGATTAAATGAGCTCATGCACATAAAGGATGCAACAAAGTAAGTGCTCAGTAAATGGCAGCTGTTATTATGACTCCCCACCGTCTTAGTTGTTGTTTTAAATTATACTTAAAACGGCAGGCATGACAAATAGGTTTTATCTCATGAGTGAACTCTGATCAGTTGGTTGTGTCAGCTTGAAGCATTTGATGGAAAGGATTTGAGGTCTTGTTTTAATGCGGTAACAGAGAGTGTAGCAATTGATTAGTGATGTCTGCCCCAGGTGCAGGAATGAGCAACAGTAGTAGGGAAGCCACCTCTGCTACGCAGAGTTCCTGATTAGGTATTTTAGAGCCATTCTGCAATCACTCAGCAGGGATGCGAAGAGAGCAACACTAGTGAGTATGGTTTGGGTGTGAAGAGAAGTGGGAATCAGAGGCCCATCCACTATTTTTGGAAAAGAGTGAACTTTCACAACTAGAGGTTTGCTCACTGAAGATATCCATCCTTATTAGGCTTTCAGACATCAGAATGACCATATTCTGAAGTCAGAGACAGGATCCACCCACCCTGAGGCATCATGCAGACCCCAAAGATGGTGTGAGGGAGAACCTGGAGAGTCTGGGTTCTTTTTCTAGCTGAAGAAACCTCAGACCATCTTGGCATGGGCCCCACAGAGCAATCATCTATCACGAAGTTAGATTCAGTCCCTGGTCCAGTTGCACGTACTTGCCACACTCCTTGCAGGGGAAGATGGTGGTGGGGTCTGTCTCGCCGCTGGTGGTGCTGTGAGAGGGCGAGCTCTTCACCGAGCAGTACCCGCTCTGGGCGCTGCCAGGCTTCTGCTTCCCAGGGGGGACAGCACCCCGAGCTTTGGTCACCTGGTTGGTGCCACCGTGGATGCGGGCGTGGCCGTTCAGTGCCTGTCGGGAGCTGAACACCTGGGGAAGAAAGGGAGTGACATGACATCTACAGTCCTGAAAAGGAAATTAGGGTTATTAGTTACTCAGTGGTAAAACACGTGATACTTGAAACAGTCTAATGACAGGGCGCAGGGGTCTGACATAAGCAACCTTTGGGCGTGTGCCATAGAAAGTAGAGCTCAACACCACGACCACAAATGCTGTGCCAATAAAAACCCCATCGTTGTCATAACCAGAAGACGAGAAGGGATGAGGCACAGCACGAAGGACAAAGCTGCCATCTAGAAGTCAGGAGACTGGGGGGCTAGACACAGCATCTCTATTTCTCCTCTGTACATTTTTTCCATCTGTAAAATGAGGGTGTTGGACCAGCTTTCAAACTTTTTTAAAGCTGGAAACTACTTCCCCCCCTTTTTATTTTCTTTTTTCACTTTTTTTTTTGTTTTTAAACAAATCAGGTCTTATTCAAAAGCTCAAAGTTAAAAGCAGAGGTGCTCTGGCCGAAAAAGACAGCACCCCAGAATTGAGTCTATTTGCCCGGCTCTATCTCCCCCCAGGAAGCCCTAGAGCCCCACAAAACACAGTTTGAAAGACACTGATCAGCTGCTCTGACATATTCTATATTTTAGGTCCAAGCCTCAATCAGTAGCCTATGGGTGAAGCAATGTTTCAGACCCCCCAAATTTACTGCAGGATGATACAAAGGAGGAAGACCTGGACAGTCTTCTGAAGCTTGCCATAAAGCAGGGTTTCCCAGCCTCAGGACTACTGACATTTGGGGCTGGATAGTTCTTGGTTGTGGGGGGCTGTGTCGTGTAGGATGTTTATCAGCATCCCTGGCCTCTACCCACCAGATGCCAGTAGCACCTCCCCAGTCCTGACAAAAATGTCTCCAGACATTGCCAAATGTTCTCGAGGAACAAAATCATTCCCAGTTGAGAACCACTGCTGTAAAGGGATGTAACATGCACCCTTGAATTCCAAGCCCCGACTTCTAGCTTCTTAAATGCATCAGGTGACAGCGGTACCCATCGAGCTGCCCAGGTGTAGGGGGTGCCTCTCTGTTAAGTCCATGAGCTCTGTTTACAGTCTTTCAGGGAAAAAAATCTATCGCTGATGTAGCAATGCAAACCTCTATGGTTCAGCAAGGATTAAAACTAACACACTTTTTTCCCTGTGATTTTTAAAAATCATTAAAAAACATCCATCTTGCTGAGCCTTTCTGATTGGGAAAAGTAAAAGATGACTTCCCACTTGGTAAAGAATTTACTGTACACCAAAACTATGAATTGAGGAAGCATCCAATTTCTAAACAAATTCACCCAGAAATACTGTCATTTAAAGTCACATCTTAATCACCCCGGAACGGAAGCGCTCTATACAGAACGGCAATGATGGAGTGAAGTATCCAGGTCATTAACCATCAAAGACAGAAACAAACTAGCAATTTCTTATGCTCTTCAAAGCTAATGCAAAATGCATATATCTTTTTTTTTTTTGCTTTTTCATTTTTTTCTTAAATGCAAATCAAGTGAATTTCTGCTTTAGGATCTAAATATTTTAAAGATTTTTTCTTTCTTCATCTAAGTGACAGACAAAGCAGCATTCAATACACTACGGAAAACAGTATTGTTCTATATAATTTACAAGCAAAGATAAGCACCAGCTTGAGCAAAACGGGCTTCTTGTGAAAAGAGCAACATTCTCATTTTTTGAGTAATTCTTCTAGAACTTGCCTCTATAGGTGTGCCCGGCTTTAATAAACCTGATTTGGGAAAAGCTCAATAATTCAAACTCATGGGGGACCAGTGGGGGACTGAGAGTCCAAAGTTAACAACTTAAAAAAAATATCCTTTAAAATACACAGGGAGCCGTAGACGAGGCAGTGCAGAGCCTGTAAAGCCTTCCTTTAGTGCTAAGAATGATCAAATGGTGAACTGGTTTTATTTTAGCTAAATGATGTTTTTAACATACTTGAAAAGTACTAGGTTAATTACACAGACTCCCTTTTAGCCCGTTTACATGATTAATTTGCTTAGTAAATCTTTTTTGTTTTCTCCAAAGAGTACAAAGATAAACTTTAGCTAAATCTTTGTAATTATGTTATAAAAGGACAATCCATCTCTGTGGGCTCCTCCAGCACATGTAAATGCATGTTTACAGGGCATGACCTGGTGTGACACACACCCCAGAGGAGTGGAGAGGCACCAAGAAATGTACAGTGTAAGTTCCGGAGGCCAGGGCTCACTGTAGAGCCAAGGGCATTGGCACCGAAGAGCTCTGAATCACACGCTTCCAGAGGGCAGGGACCTACTTTGTGTCCTCCGAGCACACAGCACAGCGCTTGACACAGAAGACACACTCCAGAAATATCTGCTGGCTGAGTGAATAAGTGAATGGAATAAAAGAAAGAAAACCAGGGAAACATGGAATTCCTTCTGCCAAACTTTCACTGCTGAAAGTGCACCCTTTCCAAAATGCATGGTCTCTTAAAGCCGGGCATAGCTGTATGGCCCTCGCTAGTCCCAGATCCTGGAGGACGCAGAGACACTTACAGCCCCGCAGTTGGGCATTTCACAGATGAAGGAGCCCAAGGGCTGGCCGAGGGCCTGCAGGGGCGGCCCCTCTGTGGGAGCCAGGATGGGGCCTGGTGGTGGCTCCGGGGACCTTGCCACTTCGTTCTCCTCTTCTCTTGTGGATTTCCTATCTTCTTCCGGGTCCTCCTCCTCCTCTAACTCCTCTTCTTCTTCACTCGTCTGGTGTTAAGGCAATAAAAGGAAAAAGGGGAAATCCCCAAAGAGCATTTTTAGTGATGATCAGAACCCGCAGGCCAGGAGAGGAGAGAGGGGCTGGATCTGGGGCTGCACTGGTTTCTTTCCACATAAGGAACGGCTGACAGAGCCCAGGGACAAGGTCTCTACAAGGTTGGTCATTGGACGCTTGGAATTTTGAGATCAAGGAAGTCCCTCTGCCCCACTTTGGGTCTCCTCATCACTTATAGAAAAATATGCTAAGGCAGGGAGGAGAGATTTCTGCCTGTAGAGTTTCTCCCCTTTGCTGGAGACCAGCAGACCTGGAACCCGACTAAAACCCAGGCAGGCTGCTCGCAGGTATGCAGCTCTGTCTCCCCGGAGCAGTGAGGAGGGTTCTCAGGCAATAACAATACTGTGGAAACCCTTGGGAGAGAGACTAAAGACCTATCATGATTTGTTTTACAGGCCTTAAAACACACTTCCATGTGAAATGCCCAAGATATCTGATTCGACCCAAGGCCTGTGGAAAGCCTGTGACACACTGTGTTCCGACGTGCTCCTGCTCTGCTCATCAGAAAATAGAATGGAAGAGTGAGCCACAATGCCTTTGAAAAGGAGAGAAAATGGAAGGGAATATTCCCTTTTACTTATAATGCATTTTTTTGTGGGGGGTGGGGGTGGATCTCTGAACATGGGCTTAGAGAAATGCCCTCCAGAGGCATTCTATGAACTAGGATGAGAAAAATATTTTCTATGAGTAATTATCCTCGCTGCTACTGTGTCCCCTCCCCCTACTTCAGAACAGCAACCAGGCAGAGAATTAAACAGAAAGTCCCCACCTTCCTCAAGGCTAACAAAACAGTCTGTTACTAGAGCATCCGGGATTAGGTACCCAGGGGGGCTTGGGATGGAGAGCAGGGATCTAGGAGGCCCTCGTTCTACCTCTTGTTTAAGCACCTTATTCTGCTCTCCCCATCCTCACTGGGGTGGTGGTGGTTGTGAGGGATGCTGCCTCCTCCAGTCCCAGAAAGGACTGAGGACCAGGGAAAGGAAATTCTACGTTACATCAACCTCATTTCAGCTTCCAGCCCTTTACAGTTTACAAAGCACTTTCACATTTACTGTCATTGAATAGGCTGTAAACAGTCCTCCCTCTTTACACACGAGGAAACGAAAGGCACACCCAGCTGCCTCTAACCCCGACAGGTCGTTTGTCTCTGCCAAGCTCTCTCTGCACACCCACTGCTAGAAGCACACAGGCTCCACTTTGATTTAGCCCAGACAGCTCACCTGGGTGAGCCTATGATTCTTACAGCCCCAAAGGGAGAATTTCCAAGAAGAACAAAGATTTCTGAGCGGAGCGGTACCTTGGGATCCAGAAACCACAAGCTTCCTCTCTGCAGTTGGAGGTGGGGGAGAAAGACAATGCCAGAAAATATGGGGCAATTAGCACTCCCCTCACTGGTTCAATATTGTCTGTAGTTAATTTTATATATATATATATCTATATATATATATATAGATATATATATATACATTATTTGAGATGATATTGTACCAGGGTGTATTTAAGAAATGGTCCCAGTTTCCAGTGGGTTAATTAGGATAAATTAGTAATGATTACATTTGCTGAAAGACTTCAATTAATACAGATATAGGCCTAACACATTTTACAGAGAGATTTATGATACTATAAGCTGTAGGTTTCTTGCTAGTATAGAACATGGAGGTTGATTTCACTTAAATGCTCTTATTCTCATATGAAACCACCATCTTCCAATCTTGAAGAGTTTCAGGTAAAACCACATTATGTCCAACTCCAAGGGTTCACTCCATTCTTTACAGAACTGGAACTTGGTGGTCCCAAATATCAGTTTATTAAGCAGACCATGGCCTATAGCTTGGCATTTAAAACAAATCACATAATAACTTTAAGTGACAATGGCATTTGTTTCATGGTATAATTGTTATAATTACAATTTTCTCACAATGCCATTTTTTGGCTTAAAAACTCTTAGAAGAAACATTTTATATAGCTGCAAAATTACAGATTAAGTTATACTTTACTGTGATAATATATGTCTCAGGAATTTAGATAGGTTTTATTTAAACTGGCAATCTATACATATTCACAAAATGATTTATTATCAAGCCACATGGCTCACCAAAGTGACTAAGAGATACAAAGATAGGAGGACAAAAATCCTAACGTGTAGAACTTTGTATCAACAGGTTGGCCATTTTATGATGTATTGTGTAATGAAACATTTAGTAATATTCCAAAACTGGTAGAAGGTGGGACATACAGGGCGGGGAGGTGGTTATATATTTAACACTCAAAACCTTGAGTGTCCAGAGTAAGAGTTTCTTGAGGAGGATGATATTTTTATTTCTCGGGCATGCAAATGGAATTCATATTATGAGAAATTTGCAAGTTAAAATACAAATGCTCAAACTAAATTTACTCAAAGACACAAATTTGAGTGTTACAGTCACTAACAATGATGATGGTGATGACATATGGAATGCCTGCTATGAATCAGGCACCACACACACAAACACACACACCACACACATTTCTAGTGTTCACAACAACCCTGAACAAACAATTTTTCTTTCTTAAACAAATGAGAAAATTGGCCAGAGAACTAATTTTCCCAAGGTCACATAGCTGGTAAAGAGGTTGAACTGAGATTTAAAACCTGGACTATCTGATTCCAAAACCTCAGCCTTCTTCAGCCTGTGGTCCTGCAGCAAATGTCCACAGGCGCAGGTTTGTCCATTTGCACGTGGTTTAGGTTTTCAGCTCAAACACAGAGATCCTAAATCTCTCAAAACCTTTGGAACGAGCTGCCTTTATTTATTTATTTTTTTTAAAGATTTTATTTATTTTATTTTTTCCCCCCAAAGCCCCAGTAGATAGTTGTATGTCATAGCTGCACATCCTTCTAGTTGCTGTATGTGGGACTCGGCCTCAGGATGGACGGAGAAGTGGTGCCTCAATGCGCACCCGGGATCCGAACCCGGGCCACCAGCATTGCAGCGCGCGCACTTAACCACCAAGCCACAGGGCCGGCCCATGGAACGAGCTGCCTTTAAACATCCAAGGGGAAGAGGATCTTTCCTCAGACGCTCATCAATGGACCATGCTATAAGTAACTTAGGTGCTGAGACCACGGGTGAACTTTGCCCTGGGAGCCCTTCCAAAGTCAGTTAACTGCATCAGTTGGTTTCTTGAATTGTGCTGAATTTTGGTCACAGCCAGACCCACAGATTTGCCCTGCGTGGGAGCATGTGCATGGGCAGGGGACAGGAAGGTGTGGTCAGCACACCTTCCTTCCATCTCCTTAACAGAGCCCACCTTGGTCCCCTTCTTCTGCCCTCAAGGGTGGAAGGGCCTGTGACAGTCTCAGGCCAGATGTCAAACTACCCTGCTGAGTGAGCTGTTGTGTTCTGCTGACCTTCTGGCTACCTAAAAAGCAGTCATTCCTCACAAACTCCCCTTTTTTTCCTCTCTCTCCACAAAAGTCCCTGAGCCACCTGAGCATGTTCCATCTGGGGGGAAATGGTCACCTGTCCCTTTAATAAAACACTGAGGACACATGATCAGCAGAGCTATTGCAGGTGTCCCAGGCAGGCCCAGAGGACAAACAGCAGGACCCCTGTCCTAGGACTGTGCCTTCTGCACCTTCCCCAGTCCTAGCATGGTCCCAATTTTCCTCTCCACTTGGCAAACTATCCTCAGAAGGCTGACTGTACCTTCACAATTCTCAAAAAGGAGCTGTGAGCTACCGTGCTGGCCTGAAATCCAGATTTTCTTGTTTTTGTGGGCCTGAGTCATCTCTGCACGTAGCCTTTTGTTCTCCCTAAGCTCAGGTCATGAGGGTGTGGATGCTCCTGACCCAGCCTAATACTGGCTCCTGGGGAATAAACCCAAGAAGGTGTGGCCGGCCCCTTGGGCACCATCTTAATCTTTCCTCCTCAATCTGAGGCTGCATGCTGGCCGGGGCCTTTCTACCCACCTTCAAAGCCCTGTTGGCCCAAGATGGCGCCTCTGCCTTGTGTGGTAACATCTTCCTTAGCAGCACTCCTCTGATCAGAATCCCCTTGTTCCCCTTGTCTCCCTCCAGTGAGTTCATAGGCAGATTGTTGCTATGACCCAGAGTGAATTCCACCTGGGAAAAATGTTCACCCATTCATTCAGCAAGTGTTTATTGAGTGCCTACATCATGCCAGACACTGTCCTAGGCACTTAGCAACATCCAAGCTGAAGAGTCATCAGTTTGCCTTAGAAAACCATATTCTCCAATTTTTCCCTCTTCCAAAACATGCTCCTGACAGAGCCCAGAACATTCCAGAATTAGAAGGGACTTTCCAAATGATCTAAACCATCTGCCCTATTTTATAGGTCAGTAAGCCTGGAGCCAGGTCTGAGGTCTCCAAGGCCAGGATTCTTTGTGTTTCCTTGTTTATGGTCTATTCTCCTCACGTGGAAGGCAATGCTCTGTGTGACCTTAAGCAAACTCCTTCCCCTCTCTGGGCCTCAACCTTTTGCCTGTAGAATGGTGGAGGTGGATGAGAGAGAGTCCCCAAAGCCATACCTAAGACTTTCTGGTTCTCATCTCATACTGCTTTTAAACACTCCTGGGGTTCATGGTAAACTTTCCACTTGTGTATGCCACATCTTCCCAACTAGAATATATGCTTCTGGGGGTGGGGCCAGAGGCCAGTTAACACCTCAGGGTCACCCACTGCACTACATACATATTACTGTTTACACTGTGGGAACTCAATTGCCTTTAGTTGATTGAACCAGAAGAGGCCACATTACCTTTTTAAACATTAGGCCACAAATGAGAAAAAGGCTACACAGATACAAAACATCACTACTTCAATCAGTCAAACAAAAGCCCTGGTCCCAGGAAACCCTGAATGTAGAACACTGCCATCTCTGATTGAAAAAATGGCAATACCATTCTATTCCACAGATGTCTATTTTTCCTGATAGCTGGGTCCAAACATAAACTTATATATGTGTGTATATTTCATAGATAGAATCAATTCTTAGTTAGGAACGTGGGCTTCGGAGCATTAATGAGTCTAAGTGTTCTTACACTTCTCTAAGAGAATTCTGCATTTGACTGCTCTTAAGTATTACACAAGGTAATCAGGCTCAGACAACAGACTCACAACCATCTGACCATGGCTAAGTTATTTAGGCTGTGTGCCTCAGTTTCCCACCTCACACAATTGGTGTGAGGATGAAATGAGTCACTATTTGTAAAGTGCCCAGCACAATGTCTGGCACATAGAAATGCTATATAAGCGTCTGTTAAAGAAAATGATCCACATATGTGCTAACACTTACAACTGGGGCACAACTGGGAATGAAAGTATAATTACAAATATTTACAACATTCATGAATTCCAAACACTTTCCCTGACGGTGAGACTGGAGTTCAGTAACCTGTTGTAAGATGCAATTTTCACAAACACACACACATGGTAGGTGATGTCTTCCACGGTGTGTGATAAGGAGATCTCCCTTGACTATGGATGCAGAGAAGGAAGTTGACCACAAGAACAAAGTGGTAGTAATTAGCAAAGCCACACACAGGGGTTCGGAGGAGATTTCGATCTTGCTATATCTTTAGTATGTACTCACTCTTAATATGCAGACAACTTGGGACTGTCTGCTAATGAAGGAAATCGATGTCAGGGATAAATGGTGATGTAAGGATGAGAACTATCTACACACTGCTAACCAGTTCCTCAATAATCAAGAGTCCCTGCCATGAGCTAGAGGCCAAAGCTCCTCCTGGGACATGCTTTATGGAAGCCACGGTAAAATCCAAGGGCTCCTTCATCTTTCTGAGGCACATTATGTTCTCTGGTCAGTGGCATCTGTGACACGGAAGGATCAGGAAGGGTATCCCAGGGGATCAGGGCACCCGTTACAAACCACCCCAACCACGTCAAGGCTGGGACCACCCTGGTTTAACCACCTTGGCTCCTATCTGTCTTGGAACTTGAGCCAGCCCTCACCTCCTTAACTGAACACTGAGCTACAGGTCACCAGAAGCCGCCTTCCCTCTGCCTATCCATACCAGGAAGTCAGGGCCTGAATCCTGCCCCTCACCCACTCACCGCAGCCAGCCGCCTGGGCAGCAAAGCCAAGCCAAGCACCAGCCACTTACTGACCCGGGTGTGGAGTGGGCAGTGGGGCCAGCGTAAGCAGTGACCGAGCAGCTTCACTCACCACATAGTCATCGATGATTTCCGCGAGGCGTGTCCGGTGCCTCCGCCCCAACCGCATAATTTTTTTCCAGGTGTAGTAGTACTCCACACACTGAGCCACCGTCTTAGACTTCACCTGCCGGGAAAGCGGTCTCAAGATCAGCTCCAGCAGTGGGCAGTGTGCAAAGCAGCAAGCTTTTGTGAAAATTTAATTTTGTAATAGGTAATAGCTTTATGCAGTTCAATAAAAAAAATAATTTATATACGTAGTGAAAAATCTCCTTCCCATGCCTGTTCTCCATCCATCCAGTTCTCACTCCCCACCCCTACAACACAGCTAGCCCCTCTTATTAATTTCTTGGGTACCAGTCCAGAATTTCTTTATGCATATACCAACAAACACGAAAATATATTCCTCCCAACCATTTTTCCTCACAAAGGTAGCACACTATATATACTGTTTCTCAACTTGACTTTTTTCATGATACAGCCTGGAGATGTTTTCTTGTCCGCCCATAGAGAGCTCATTCCTTTTTTTAACCCATAAAGCAGCATGCTTCTTCATTTAATGTGCTTGAATGCATCTGGCACTCTGACTTGTTGACGTTGAAAATCTATTCATGAAAAACGTTCCTTAGTAATCGAACAGGAATATAAGGCAAAGTTGCGATGAAAAGAACCTAGTTTTTGCAGGAAACAAGCCTTGCCCTGTTCTCTCCCAAAGGGGCAAAGGTAAATGTATTTTAAAGAGAAAAAATGCCTTTGTTTAGATCATAATATCTCTAAGCTCAAGGTGGGGTTCAATGATGTGGGTTTTCTGGAGGCAGACAAAAGGCTGGCTGTACCCTTGCAGGTGGGAACACGGCTACCTACGCAGTGAGATGAGACGGGGATCACCGGACGTCCTATCTCCCCAAAGCTGCCCCTTCACATCCACCTGACATCTTGAATTTCTACATTAGAATCTTACAGGGAGTGAGGATAGTGTCCCAGAGAACCCTTGTTTAAAAACTTGCATTGCCTGGCAAGCAGGACACATGAATCCATCATCAGTCAGCAAGGTGTGGGATCTTCAAGGAATAAGGCCTAGGACAGGTCAGTCCTGGGGGAAGGTAACTCCAGGAAGGCCGGAGCATGGGAGCTGCTGGGCATACAGGGCAGCAAAGAACACGGTGGCCTCCAAGGCAGGGGAAGGCAGGAGTGAACACAGATCTGGAAATGGAGGCAAGTCGGAGAAAAAGCCCACCTATTCTGATTCTCGTCCATCACGGCCCTAGATTAAGGACAGGCGACACACACACCCAGGATACTACTGGGGACCATCGGCTCAGCCTAGAGCCAGTGGGCACTGTCACCTATGACCTTGTTCTCTGTGGACCTGAACATCTTAATGACCTTAATAACACAATACAGCGCCATCATTCAACGGTTTGCTAACACGAATCAGTTTTAACTTTTAGCCTAAACCACCTCTCAGCCAATTAAGGCCCATTAAGTTTATTATCTGCTATGTAAAGTGCTATTTCATCTATGTGAAAGAGTTCTATTTTGCCGTGAAAGGCTGTACATGTAAAGGATTATTTTTATTATTACTGTCATTATGGTTAGGGGCCAACACCAGAAACTCTGTTACTGGCTAGGAGGAGGGCACACATGTTCCCTTCTCCAATTTCCCAGAAACACTTCTGTCAGAAACATGATAGATCTGTCAACTATACATGAAATAGATTATATAAATTGTGAACCAGAAGCCCCAGTTTTATTTATTCTGATAGAATGTATAAATTACACATTTTTATTAAGACAAAAATAACTCCCATCACTGCCACGTCCAAATAATTAATCTATGTCCTCCTTCTCCCCGATATCCCCAACAGTAGGGCCATGCCACCTCTATATCAGATACCATTCTTCACCAGTGATGGGGGAAGATATCCTTCTGGTGAGAGCATTAAACCAGTGACTAAATATTTATACGTATCTTTAGGTGTACAATTTCCCAATTCAATTTCAAGTGAGCATGAGAAAAAGCATGCTTACCATCTTCTGTACAAAAATAAAGTCTTTGCTGTAAGTGGCCAGTGCTTTATTAAACAGTTTTCTTTCTAGGGAGGTCCACTTGTCCGAACCTACAACAAAACACAAACCTCGTAAGAACAGCTCACAGTTCTCCCCACTTTTAGTTGCTGGTTCACTTAGTTAAGTTACAAAATACAACTGTTCAACAAATGACATAATACACAGCAAACTTTCGTTTGAACAAAAAGCCACTGTGGTGTAATGGTCAGCAGCCCTGACACCTGGGTTTCCATCTCAGCTATGGCCTTAACCTTGGCAAGTTACTGAACCTAAGACTCAGCTTTGTGACCTACAAATGGGAATAACTCTAATTGTCCCCACCTCTTAGGATGTTTGTGAAGGTGAAAGGAGGTAATGCACAAAATGTGCCTAGGTTAGTAACTGGAAAATTGCGAGTACTCAACGGATTTTAGCTACAGTCTTTATGTAACGACGATGTTCATGCAGCCAGCGCTCCTCAAGATGTGGCGGATTCAGCTGTCTCCACCCTCGAGATGCGTTCAAGGTGATGACTGCAATGATGGAAGGTAGAAGTCTGGCGCCAATGGGGCATAAAGGAGGAACACCACACTCAGGTTAGCACCAGGGGAGCCGGGAAGGCTTCCAGGTAGAGAAAACACCTGAGTTGATTGTTAAAGGACACAGAAGCATGTGAGGCAAGAAGGAGCTGGGAGGGAATTCTGGGGAGAGAAAGTGGCCCGTGCAAAGTCAGAGGCAAGCAGTGAGAGGATGCATTTCATTCATTCATTCATCCATGCAACAGATATTTACCAGGTGTTTACTACATGCAAGATGCTGTGCTAGGAAAAAAACCCTAACGTTTATAAGTGCTTCCTACGTGCCAGGTTCTAAGCACTTCACAGATATTAATCATTTGGTTCCACCAACAACCCTGTAAGATTAGTATTACTGGTATCCATTTTACAGATGAGGAAATGGAGGTGTTCCACAAATGAGCAGTAATCCACCATGGTTCAACTACAGGGTTCCAGCAGAGGGAAAGCAGATGATGCTTGAGAGGCGAGTGGGACCAGCTCCTGACAGATCCGCAGACCAATGAAGAAGATGCCCCGCAGTGCTGGGCTGGTGCATCTGCCTTGCAGACTAAACTTGATATTTGGGTCTCTTTCCTCCATAAAAAAGAAAGCAGGATATGGAGATGATCATAGAGAATGGTACCGGCCTGTAATAAGGCCTATTTCTAAGGGGAGTCCTATTTCTGGGGGCTCCAGGGAAGGCACAATCATTGTGGCTGGTTTCCAGAAAACCTTGCCTCTTTCTTCTGGTTTTTTTCAATTCTCCACATTTCTGATTCTTTGGATGGTACGTGGCTGAATCTTTGACACTCCTCCACTTCTCAGAACTGTAATCCCCCAAACCATAGTATTTTTCCTCCCAGCCAGGACAAGCCCAAGATTTCCATTTTGCTATGGTTGATTGATGGTGCTGAAGTACAGGAAACCTGAATTGCTTCTTCCCTTGGAAGGTTCAGCCAAAATTAGTGAATCAGGTGAAACCACTCCGGGTAGGGAGGGGATTGGAGATCCTAGGATCCTTGAGGGAATACATGACTCAGTGATGTAAATTCAGATTTCTGAAATAAACACCTTCTCTGTATGACTCCTTGATGCGTCCTCAAGCCAAGAACGCTGGCTCCAGACTCAGAATATGCTCTCCACAACTGGGCTGGTTCAAACTCTAAAAATCAGGGCCATCACCCCATTTCTTTGGTTTCCAAGTTTATCTCTTTACTTCTGGAAGGAAAGCAGCTTTCCAATCAATCCTCAGCAGAAGGCAGCGTCTTCCACATGTTCTGGAGGCCGGGACATCTCTGGCTGTGCAAACCACAACAGGGAGAAGAGGGGCTGGGAGTTTGGAGAAGCTTTTCTGGAGTGGACATGAGTAGAGGAGGTCAGTGAGATTTGTTCCATTACCATTCCTCAAATTCTGTCCAACACTCAAGGCCTTGGGGTCCCAGCTCCCATAGCTCCCCTTACCAGGTGAAGAGAAAGACAGAAAGAATTAACCAACGCTTTAGTTGAATGACCAAAGAGCTGTCATGGTTCCTTTTAGGTATCCATCAAAATAGGAAAGAGGTAAGAGGAATCAAAAAGAGAATGATGGAAGAGGATCATAATGGGCACATGTTATATTAGCTGCGTTCCTGGACAAGCTTATAAGGAGGCTGATGTGCTGCCCTGCTGCAGATCCAGAGTCGGTGCAGCTCATATGGCGAGAAAGGGGACATTCTGCCAATGAAAACTCCCAACTAGATCAATGAGAGTCCTTTCCTCCCTCCGCCAGACCATGCATTTCCTGAGTTAAGAGTGCAGCTCTGACATCTGGGGAGACCCTACCAGGGCCACGCAGCCTTCTCAGCTCAGCACCCAGTCTCTACACTGGACATACTTTCTCCCACCCCACACAAGGCTCATCACCTTATTACTGCCCAAGCAGCAGCGTTAGAGTCCCAGGTCGGTCTACTTTTGAGAAGCATGTTCCCAAAAGGCTTGCCAGTTGCAACCCCACAGAAGGTGAAATAGCTTCCTGGACCATCTGTTATGGGGCATTCCCAAGCCTCAAGGGGAAAGGAGACCTTCCCCTTGCCGACTCCTCAGTGGTTTTTAGGGCTGCTACTTTGTGATAGGGTCTTCGGTCTTCCCAATTCCAGGGTGTTCATTCCGCAGCACCAGCCCTGGATTAGAAGTGGCCTGCACTCTCTCACTCTCCTCTCTGAGCCACTCTCCCACTCTGATGGCTGTAGGGGCAGGGAGCATGTGCTCACAGAGGGACAGATGGCCCCTCTATGTAGTCCTAGGGTCCGTGCTTTGGTGCAAATGATAGCACTGCGTGTGTGTCCGTCCAACAAGGGCGTCCATGAAGTGAGAGGCAGGGCCAGACACGCTCACACTAGAGTGGGCTCCAGCTTCACCGCATCCTGATCACAGGATTGCCCACAGGGCTGAGAAACCACCCCCGGGCTCCTGGACTGAATTCCCGGGTCAAAGCCTGGAAACACCTGAATATGTTCTCCCCACATAATAAGGTCACTATGCTGTGATGAAAAGGGGTGACTTCAGTCAGAAGACCATCGGCTGCAAACATGGTTCTACCATTTACTCCTGTGGCCCCAGGTGACTCGACTTAACTTCTCTGAGTCTCAGTTTCCTCTTCTGTGACTGGCAGCGTTTGGTCCTAAGGAGGTGCACAGTGACTGTTTTGGATCTTAATCGGCCACTCGGAGAGCAGATCCCAAATCAGCCCACGGCTCTGGGACACAGGCTGTCCCCTGCTGATGAACGTGCTAGTGGCCTCAAGAAGCCTGCCTGTCCCTGCCAATGTTCTCCGTTCTGTGCATGTATCATCCCACAGTCATACTGTTGGCTGCTTGTAACTTCCAGTCTTCCACTCCTGCCCCTGACATCCTTCTCTAACCCAGTCAAGGAAAGGCTCAGGCGTCTCCCTCTCCTGGTGTCTCTGTCTGATGGGAGCACTTTCCTCATTCTTAGACAAGGTTCAAGCCAGCCCTTCTTGGATTCTGCGTCTTGGACAAAGTCCAGGATAAAATGCAAAACTGAGGCAGGGGACTGCCTCAAACCCTCCCCTTCCCCCTGCCTGCCCCGCCTCTCTAGGATCCCTGCTGTCCACTCCGCACGCACACAGGGTTAGTGGGCCGACATTCCCCCAGCGCTCACTTGTTCTACCTGGGGATTCCCGGCTATCAGGCTATTATCAGCAGGGGCCCCTAACAAGACGATTAAGGCTAATTACAAAGAGCCTAATTAACTGGAGGAAACTGGTGCTGGAACAGTATCCAGAGGAAAAAATGTTCTGAGCTTTGGTTGCTGGGAAACAGGCTCTGGACTGTGGCGAAATGGGGGGCAATCTATAGTGAACCCAGGCAATTAAAAAGAGACGTGGAGGGGTGAGAGAAAGTTTGGGTACAGTATATTTGAAAGAGGGCCTTTCTGTCTTCCTTTCAAGATCTGAAAAACTTTTATTGATGCTGTTGTTATTGTGTTACACAAGAAAGACATGTTCATTGCAGAAAAAGGAAGACTGTTGTTATACCAGATCTTCGTTTCCCTGAAATGTTTTCCATGGTGAGCGAAGGGTGAATAATTTTTTTAGGGGAGCAGGGCCAAGCAGGTGACACCAAAGATCCCTCCAGAGGCAAAAGAACGGGCGGCCTCCATCTAAATCCAGAACTTGAGGTTGTCCACTAACCCTTTTCTTCACAAGTGCTGTGTTAGGCAAAGCAAGAGAGTAAGTATGAACTTAGTTCCTGCCCTTCAGGGAACCACTATCCAGCTAGACACACGGGCTAAGAATGCCTGGAAAATGACATCACAGCTGTGTTTCTTGCAAGTATTCTCCTGAGAAGGTAATTCGGTCTCCTCATCAAACTGGGGCAGCTTCCAAGACAGAGACCAGGCTTCCCCCAACTGAATGGGTATTTCCTCCAGGTCTCCCCCATCTCTGGAGTCAGGTCAGGGTTGGGGACCCAGTGAGCAGTCGGGCTGTGGTGGGAGCCGATAGTAGCCTCTGTTGAACCCTTGCCAAGATGCTCAGGGCCAGTTGTGACACCCCCTCCACTCCGCACCCATCTGCACGAATGGAATGACCAGTTCAACGGAAAATCCAAGGATGCTGCAAGCCATATAATCACAACCAGGTGTCCTCCTCACCCTGAATCCCCCACGCTCCAGCCTTCCCCACCCAATCCAACTGCTAAGTGGGAGCAACTGCAAACAACTGCTACCCACACACAGGTGGAGGGTGCTGAGAGAGGGCTGGACAGGGCACCTCAGTATGGATTACAGAGCGCCGGGAGCCACTGCAACAGCACCTTCCTCTGAGGATCTTAATAGGTCTCCTCTGGCTTTGGCAAGCAGCCCCCTGATCTGGGCGAGCTACCCACCCACACTGGTATCTCTCCTGGGCCCCAGCAGTGGGCACTTCTTCCTTTTCTTACTGAATTGCTCAGGGTGAGATGGGAAAGGGAAGGGCATGAGTAAAGTAAAGAAAGTGATTTTCACAGGCCTGTGTCTCTTTCTCCCCCAAACTTGCAGCCTCCCTCACTGAGCCCAGGCTCTCCGCCTTCCTCTAGGGCACAGACAGGCCTGGGAGATCTGACCTCTCTCTCTCTAGACAACTAGGAGCCTGGAGTGCAATTCCAGGGCCGGAAGTGGGGGTGGGGTGACACTGGCCACAGCTACAGAGCTGGAAGCCAAAGGAGATCCAGAAGATAGCGTTCCAGCAAGGCTGACTTGAGTGGACAGACAGTCCTACTGGACAGCAACCCAATGGGGCTTGGCACAAAGGCCAAGGCAGGATGGGGCCACGGGGATAGTATTCATTGACACTCTGGAACCAAACCAGGGGCTAAGTGGCTGGTAGCTGGGGCATGTAATGGGGGTAGGCTCTGTGACCTCCCCTGTGGCTTGGAAGGGAACTGTTAAGGGGAGGGAGTCAGGTCAGACTTTAGATATCAGTGACTTCTTCCCTTTTTGCTCATAATTCTAGAATATTCTCTAAGGTTCAGTCTGTGATCACTTCCTGGAGAAAGCAAATGACTGGCAGATGGAGGTAAGCACCTGTTTCTTGGGGACACACAGCTAGCAGTTCAACCCTTCACACCTCAGTTCTACCTCTCTTGCTCCTAAGTGTGGAAATAACTCCAGGAAGCAACAGAGCGCTCCTGGTCTGCCTGTGTGGGAAGAGGGTAGGGGATGGGCAAAGAATTAGCTAGGAACCTCCAACTCTAAAAAACCAATTAATTTTAGCAGAGTTTAGGGCCTTTTAACTTCAAAGTTCTTGGCATTATTTCAGTGTTTTTGTTGTTTTGTTTGGGGATGGGGGTGGCTTCTAGTCCATAGCTTTCCAACCTTTTTTATGTCATGACACATAAAAAGATACTACTACTTGCTTGGCACACTGGGAAGAACTGGAGGGGATCTGGGTCCCAGATGAGGTTGCTCACAGCTGGAGCTGACCAGCCCAGAGGCGCCGGGCACCCTGCCACCCCAAGGGCCGAGGGGGGCTGCAGCAGATGGTTGGGAAGCCCCTTCTCGTCAACAAACTGACCCTCTCACTATGCAAAGAAGCTTGAGACAGGCTCGGACAGCTTGTGAGGGTTTAATGGGCAGCAGATGATACTGGGAATTAAGAGAGGATTGAATTGTTTCCCTGGCAGATTAGGGGGAACTCCCACATCTTTCTGCCCACACTTGGGGTGGACACCAAGCAGGAAATGATGGAGACAACATAAGAAACCAGCTCCTTCAGGCCACTGGTTCAATGATGGGTTTCTTATCTCACGTGTCCATTTTGTGCTTGCCTAGTCCCAGCAGTGGCCTGTGTGCTGACAGGGATCCACAGGCAGACATCCTGGGCTTGCTGCATTCACATGAGTGGCTTCTGAGGCCCTTCGACCCTGTGATGACACGCAGGAAGGCTGACTCATGAGAGGAGCAGGTTAACTGGGGGAAACAGTGGTGGGGACAGGGAGCCCACTGAGAACGCTCTGGTATTTGTAGAGCAGCCCTCACCTTACACCATATCTGGCTGCCTAGACAAGGCATTACCAGGTTGCCAAGCCCACTAAAGTATTTAACACCTACCTATGCAGTGTCTGCTCAAGGCGCCAAACAAACCTTCAAATGATTAACAATCAAGGGGCATTAGAGGATGCAGCCCCCTCTGAAATAGAAAATTCTGGCAGGTTCATGGAGACCCTCAGAATAGATCGATTTACCAGTGAATGGAAATAAAAACGGTGACTTCAACTTCATTTGTCACCCCAGGCTCTCCAACCTATTTCCTTCTTTCTTCATGACTCTCACTCTATTCAACTCTCAAAGGTGTTTTCTCCTTCCTCCTTACTGGTGATGTCATTGTTAATCCACACCCTCATAAGACACACTCATATGTAAATGTATATGTAAATATATACGTATATGCAAATATATGTATTGTATGTACATATAGGTCTTTTCCTAGCATTAGTATGATCTGTTGTTTAATAACTGCCTCCTTCTCAGACTCCAAACTGCAAGAGGCAGGACTCTGTCTATGTCTAACACAGTCATTGTTCCATCTTAATGCTTAGCACAGTTTCTTGTACACAGTAAGTGCTCAATAAATAACTGTTCAATAAACGAATAACAATAGCCTCTAGGATGTGCCAGGCATTGGGCTACATATACTATCTCTAATCTTCACAAAAAAGATTAAGGGATATAATCTGTAAGATTAAGGCTGTAAGGGATGGAGTATGAGCCCATTTTACAGAGGAGGAAACCAAGGCTGCAGAAGGCCAAGGGGCAAGATCTGAACCCAGGTCTACTGATTCCAAAGCCAAGCGGCTGACGAGTGTTGCTGCCTCTGTGCTGCACCCTGTGGTACTGTGGCCCTCTCCCCCGATGCACCCGTCTCACTGTCCACTCTCACCCAGCTCTTGGCACACCCACGAGGGGCAGGAGCTCACACAGACTCAACTGCCGCATCAGCTACACCCCAGAGGGCCTTAAGATCACAAGTGGCGATTAGGACAGAACCGGTGATGTCTATTATTAAAACTCGACACAACCCCACAAGCAAACAGCCTGCTCTCAGGTAGCAATGGGGCACAGGGCTCCTGGCCACCTACCAGCATAATGGTAATTTGCTAAAGGATGACATTTTAACCTGACGGGCTTCCGCAGCAGCAGCATTTCCAGAGCAACCTGCAGACCCAGGGGAGAGAAAAGGCGAGAGTCAGTCACGGGTCTGTGTGTCCCAGGAAGGCTCTCTACCTAACGGGGAAAGGGGTCAGCACTGCAGAGCCTGGAGCCGAGGGCACTGGAAGGAAAACCATAGGGAAAACTAGTTGGGGTTTCCTTTCTGGTCAGCACCCAGGAGGGCTCACTGTTCTAGCTCATGAGTGCAGCTCATGAGTGCAGCCAGTTAGTCACGTTAGTCACGTCTGACACCCCACTCCTTCCTTGGTAAGGGCCCCAGCCTCAGAGAGATGGTGGGGCCTCCTCTGAATGGAGGCTGAGTTTCTGGGGAAGGACTCCAAGGAAATGAGTGGGTGATATGTAACTGTTTTTGCAGAAAAGTCATATGTTTCATTATCATTGAACATAAACAGCTGTATTAGTAATAACCGTACTACACATCGTTCTCCCAGAGAGCCTAGCTGAAGAAATCCTTTCAAATCTGCCTCCTTCAGCCTCGCTGACGTTAAAAAAACACCGTAGGTGGGGTCAGCCCCGTGGCATAGCGGTTAAGTGTGCGCGCTCCACTGCTGGCAGCCCGGGTTCGGATCCCGTGCGTGTACTGATGCACAGCTTATCAGGTCATGCTGTGACAGCGTCCCATATAAAGTGGAGGAAGATGCGCACAGATGTTGGCCAAGGGCCAGTCTTCCTCAGCAAAAAGAGGAGGATTGGTATGGATGTTAGCTCAGGGCTGATCTTCCTCACACACACACACACACACACAAAAAAACCAAACACTGTAGGTGGAGTTGAGCAGTGGATGGTTTAGGGGCAGAGCAAGGTTTAGAGTCTTGCTACTCCAGGTGTGGTCCACAAACCAGCAGCACGAGCAACCCCTGGAAGCTGGTTAGAAATGTGGAACCTGGGGCCGGACCTCCAGAACTGCTGAAGAACCCGCATTTTAACAAGAGCCCCCAGGTGACTTGAGTGCATGTTAAAAGTTTGAGAAGTGCTGCCCTGCAACACTAACCTCAAAAGGTTAGAGAGTTGTCGAACATTCTAGAAAATTCATGAAAGGTATCAACAATCTCACGAGAAGGTAGCATTGGGACATGTGTTTACTTTCACATTTTCATAAAATCAAAAAAAGGAGGAAGCCAGATCTGGTACAAGAATCATGTATTTACTACAGGGGAAACAGGTTAGTGACTGAGTAATCTTGTCAGAAGCCCAGGTGGAGCAGCCAAATGGTCGGCTTGGATTCTGAGAAGATGGCACCAAAGTTCTGGTTTGACCAAAGAACCAAGTGTCAAAGGTGGAAAAATGACACCAGTTGGTGCACAGAAAACACTTCATTTTGGTTAACGGAGAAAACCGTTCTATGAACATCCAACTTTGGCTGATTTTTCTAGTAGGGAAGAACAATCAGCAGAGTATGACAGGCTATTTTAGATCAAGACTTCTTTCAGTAAGACCTTCTACCTCCATCAGTGGAGATCAGTTTTATGATATGAAATACAAGAAAAGAAATTCTAATTTCCCGACAGATGTGTCCATAATTATTACCTAGGAACAGATGTGTAAACAGAAGTCCAACTGGAGGTTTTCCTGTAGCCTTTTAAATCCTGACCTACTCATTGAGATAAGGAACAGGGAGGTCTGTTGCTTGGTCATCATCTTATGAATTGGTTGTATGGTACATAGGACAACACAGGAACTTGGGAAAATATTTTCAGAATTCTAACATGAAGACGACGAACTGTGAAGCCTACTTTTCATGGTTCCTTACCATCACATCACCTTTGGCCTCGAAGAGAGAGTGCAAAGCAAATTCAGAATTGGTCCCTCCACCTGGCAACGCACTTGAACAGCACAAATTCAGGAGATTCTCCACTGTTGGGAACAAGGAGAAGCCACTGTATGCGAGAGAGCTCAGTATCATAGAAAAACACACCCATCCTGGAGCCAGAAATCCCAGTGAGAGAATCAAGGCTTCCCCGCCCAGTTGTCCCCATGGGCCAATACCTCTTTGCTGGAGGTCATGGTTTTCCAGCTCTGGCCAGGGCTTCCATACCAGGGTGGCCTTGTGTGTGTCCTGGGCCAGGGCAGAGACATCCTGGAGTTCTGGGATCTCGGCTTGGAATCTCAAGCCAATGTTGATGCGTCTTTAATGACAAGAAGAAAAACAACAGTGTAGTCTTCGATTTGAGGCCAAGGGCAACCGTCAGGAACTCGAAACAGAAGGAAACCAGGTCCTTTCGCAAGAAGAAGGCAGGGCCATTTCCTCACAGTGTGATCCTAAGATTCCAGGCACGGCCTTTTTACTGGGATAAGGAACAGCTTTAAAATTGGGGAGAGATGCTGTAGGGAGCAAGGGAGAAGTCTGCCTGGGGCTTCATAGCTCCCTATAACTGAGAGAGGGAGGGTGCTAATTCCACGGGAACAGCTCCCAGAGCACAGCCGATGGTACCCCCAGGAAAAATGGGACAAATATAAAGTGCTTATTTCATTTTTTATCCCTTTCAGCCCACTTTCACATAAATTATCCCATCTGAACCTCACCAAGACCTGTGCTGTAAGCAAGGCAGTGATAATTATCCCCATTTAATAGACGAGTTACCTAAAGCCTAGAAAGGTTAACTTGATCAAGATAAGTAACAAATGGGGCTGGAACTCAGGTTTTCTGATTCCTGACTCAATCTACTCGCCACTCTACCTACCATCTGGCCTCTTTTCTGTGCTTATCCATGAAAATAACCACCTTTCTCTTCCATTATACCTCCCACCACCCACTCACAATTCAAGTACTCAACAAGCCCATTTGAAGGACTGGCCAAGAATCTTGGGGATGGGGGAAGCAAGCACATTTGGAAGGAGCCTTGTAGAGAACTGGGCACCCTGAGAGAGATGCTGCAATGTTACTGAGAATGTGAAAGCATGTGGCCACAACCAAACTCGTCCACGGAGCCAGAGATGGGGACACTAGGTTCTCAGAATACAGAGCTTCATGCTTTTACTATGCATTTAGTCTTTGGCAAAGCCCTTGAAACACTGGCAGTTGTAGAAAAACAATAGTACTCGAAAAATATGATGATTCTTCAATTTCTACAACTTCTCCATCAGTGGCCACTCTGACCCCAGAAGCACTACGCTTTTCAAAGCTCCTCATCCCTTTCCCCAGCTGAAGCTTCTATTCTGAAGAATAATTGGCTTTTCCTTACGGTTCAACGTCAACCGTCTGCTCTCCAGGCCCTGGGGTGACCGTCACATTGCTGCCATCGATGCTGTCTGAAGCACAAAAACCAGAGATCACTGGTCAAGAGGGAAGGGGTATTGAGGAAACGGAAGCAAATGAGCAGTTGCCAAACAGTCATAATAGGGTCCCCCTCCTACCCAACCCATGTCCGAGTTACCACCACTAGTCTCCAAGGAGCTGGATGGAGTGTGGTGCTAACTGGTTTAGGATTACCCATTCCTCACACGGGGTAAGGAGAAGCCAGCTGCCCCACTCTGGTCGGCTAAGCTGTCTTGTTTCTGTGAAACTATTCTTGCTCCAGAAAGAGATCCTGGCTACAGGCCTCTCCATGCTGATCTTTATACAGCACGCTAAATGTGGAGGCCTGGTGTTACATATAACCCTATCTGTACATCCACTTAGTACTTTTATTTTGGGTGTCTTACACAATTATCCACTGCACAGTCTTATCATTTAGTGTGTGCATACTTCAACTGTTTCCTTATCCCAAAGAGACTGTAATTATCACTTTATGTGTTTGTCTCCTCAGCTAGACTGTGCTTCCCTTGAGGGTAAGTATTCTCTCCTTGTTTTAAGTATTTCTAGCACCCAACTCAGTGCCTGGTACATAGCAGATGTACGCCACAAAAGTTTGTGGCGTCAGAGACAACTACAGAAAGCGAGACCTCGCAGGGCGGACACCGGCCCAGCCGCGGTGAAACCCCCGGGGTGCGGGAGGGGTCGAGGGGTGACTCACTGGAGCGGCAGAGCAGCACGCGCGGCGTGGGCGTCAGGGGCGTGAGGGGCAGCTGCGGGTGGGCGCCGGCGCCATGCCCCGAGATGAGCACGTTGCTGAAGAGCCCCGAGCCCTGGCGCACCGGGCTCAGCATGGGCGGGGGCGTGTAGGGGGGCAGCTCGTGGGCGGGGTCCAGGAGCAGGTGGTCCCCGAGCATGCGCGGGGAGCGCAGCTGGCTCTGGTAGAGGGTGGCGCCCGAGACGGAGGCGGCGGGGCTCGGGTGGTAGGAGGGCGGTGGCGGGATGAAGAGCGGCTCGGGCCGGTGCCGGCGGCACTTTTTCTCCGGCGCGGGCTTCAGGGGCTCCTCAGCTTTGGCCACGCCCGGCTGATGCTTCCTGGGAATTTCCTAAAACGGGGAGAACGTTCCGATTCAAACACCTAGGCTTTCCCCATAGGCGGTTTCCACAGGTTGAGGGGAGGGGAACTTCTGTTGTACTGGGGACCCCCTTCCACTTATCTGATTCCAGCATCCTCAGCATTAAAGAACAGCCACCTCTATTTCAGAGCAGGCGAGTTGTGGTGCCTTGACTGGGGAGAAAACTTTGGTTTTGGAGGAAATCCCTAATGTCTGGAGGGAGATGGGGGTGGTAGGAATAGTGGGTGGGCAAGAAGGAATAAATTCACATTCTTTATTGCTTATCACTGCATTCCCATCTGGTGAGTGGAATCCAGCTGAGTGGGCTCTTTAATTCCCCATCGCTCCCCAGGGACAGACATGAGGGACAGATAACACATGTTCTGAGAAGGGGACAAAATAATCTATTCAGGGAAGCTGGGCAGAGGCTATGGGGCAGGAAGAGGGGGTCAGGCCTAGCCAAGGCTCCCAGGGCCAGTGACCCACACTGGGCTCTCCTTGAGGTAACTTTCTGGCTGAGGGAGAGCCATCTATGATCTTTAAGGCCCGTTTCATGTGCTCCTCTAAAAATGGATCCAGTTAACCTCCCCCCTCACCACCCCTCACTATTGCTCCCAGCACTGGTGGCTCATTTGTAGCAAGCCCCTCTCCTAGGCTGGCTTCCTGTCAGCAGTGTTAGTTTATTTTATGGCAGCGGAACCAAGCATAGTCTGGAAGGAAGATCTGCCACATGGATACATATACACCAATAAGTAAACATATGCGCGTAAATAGATAAGCAGGGCATGCCAAAGCCAAACAGAAACAGACTTGGGTCGTGTGCCAGCATCAGCCCAGGAAGATCAAGAGCTGGGTGTGGCTGGAGAGGCAGCCGTGCGGTTGGGAGAGGCAGCGGGGATACCTGCAGAAAGGTTCTGGGCAGTCTGTGGTACCCTCCCAGGCCCTGCAGGGCAGTGCCAGTCACAACTGCAGTCCCTGGCAATTCCTGTGCCCCAGGGTGGCGCCTGAGTAGGAGGCAGCAAGGGGTGATGGGAAGGGCCGACCACAGTCACGTGACAGCTGCCTCCAGGCCATGTGACCTGCCTCAGTTGCCCCTCAGCTCTGGGCTCCTCTCCCTCTGGGCCCCTGCTGCTGCCTTGAGCACTTCAGGCTGCCCATTCCTGTCTCTCCCTCAGCTTCATTGTCTTCCAGGGCGCTGTTCCAGCCTCTGGGATGGGAGCCTAGTGAAGCAGAGAGGTGGGGAAAGGAAGAGGGCAGAGGACCCTCAGGCTCCCAGCTCACTCCTAGGAGGCTCTCCTTAGGCCAGAGCGCCCCTACCTGCCTCCTCTTCCCACTAGAGAGAGGGCTCCTCACTGCCTGAGCTGAGGCAGAGGGAGGGGGCTGAGGAGAATGGGGAGAGGATGCCTGTGCCCCCCAACGTGGAGAGCTATCCTGACTTTACATCCTGTGCCTGGGTAACTGATGAGGTCATCTGAGCACAGGCAGACCTGGCATGACCTTAACTCTGCACCAGGATCCGGACTTCTTTTTTTTTTTTTTAAAGATTTTATTTATGTATTTTTTTTCCCCCCAAAGCCCCAGTAGATTGTTGTATGTCATAGCTGCACATCCTTCTAGTTGCTGTATGTGGGACACGGCCTCAGCATGGCCGGAGAAGCGGTGCGTCAGTGCGCGCCCGGGATCCGAACCCGGGCCGCCAGCAGCGGAGCGCGCGCACTTAACTGCTAAGCCACGGGGCCGGCCCAGGATCCGGACTTCTGATCACAGGGCCAAAGGTCCCTTTTGGGCTTCCTCTGCTTGAGCCTCTGGACCTGCTACTCTGGCTCTAAAGCTGGATTTTCTGATCCTCTGAGACCCTAGGCCAGAGAAGCCACCCAGAGTGTCAGACCTGGATGTCACTTGAGGGGAAGCATTTACAATGTTCCACCCCTACCAAGCTATTCGGACCCTCTGGGGGCAAGGCCAAGTGCTGAGAGGTTTTAAAAACTCCCCAGAGGGGTGAGAACCACTGATGAGTCCAGTCCCCTCAAGGTCAGGGGAGAAACAGAGGCTCTGAGAGGGGAAGAGTCTCAGCTGTCTTCATCCCAGCCGGCTAGGAGCAGAGCTGGGATGAGAACTCAGGGCTCCTCTCTGCACATTTTAATTTCTTTATATCAAGTGTCAGGACTTTGCTCACATTTACTCAGTCCCACCTACATGCTTCCACTTCGACTTATCTCCCAAATTATGATGTCGCTCTCACTGTTTCCAGAAAGCCAAGTCCATCTCTGCCTTCAAAACCCTGCTCAGAACTCCCCTCATCATGATCTTCTGATTCTGAGCAAACTCATACCAAACTCTGTTGCCCTTCCCAGTCCCCAATTACTTTAGCTACCCAGGTGTTTTCCCTCCAGCCACACCCAGGGCATCACTGTTTCTCTTCTGCCCTGGTCTTCCTCCCACCGTCTTGAATTGGGGTGGGGGGTGCTGCCTGGGGCTCCGATCACTGTGTTACTGGGAACTTTACGGTCTCCAGCTTCAGGCTGAGAGTTTTCCAAAGGAAAAAACAGTGTTTCTCCCACCAAATTAGGAACTTCTCTGGGCAAAGAGGGAGCTTGGCTATGTCATTTCATCTCTTTGCCTGTTGCTGGCCCCCAAGTCCTGCCAGCTTATGAAAATCCTCATCCCCAGAGGTTCTCCATCAGTCTCTCCTCTTCTGAGGCCTTGATATTACATAGAGAACCAAAAAAGCTCTTTCTGGACTTTTCTAGTTCTCTTAATTATCCTCCCTCCTTCTATTCTGGCCCAGCTCCACCCTCACGCCTCCTGGAATCCCAGCAGCCACCTATCCTCTAGGACAAATATGACCCAGCACACCACTTTGTGGGGAGGGGACAAATTTGATGTAGTCAACCACAGAGGTTACAGACTCCCCCGGGGGAGGGAGGGAGGGAGGGAGGGAGACAAATTGAGGGAGAGAGCTCTGTTCCAGAGCCAAGCTAAGCTGCTTGGGTGAAGCACTTGGAATTTGAGAAAGAGAAGGAGAACTTAGTGAGTGAGAAACGCAAATCTCTTTGCTTTCCTGAGATGGGGGGTGGGTGTCTCTCAGAGGAATTATTTTGGGAACCTTAATGAATTAGGTCCTCCAAGGGTAATTTCACAGGTGTGATACTGAAAACATGAAGCATCTGGTAAGGCTGACCATCAGAATGGATGCCAGGGGTATGGCCTGGAGGCCCTGCTGTGCCAGGGGTTACATCTTTGGTTGCTGGATCTGGGGAGGTCTGGAGATCCTGGAGGAGGGGCCAGGGCCCTGGGCAATAGCTATTTACTGTCTGGGACAGTACTTCCGTATTTTAATAAGTGTGATTACCAGCTGAGTTATCATCTCTGTTTTAATCTGGGAACACTTTGGGCCTCTCAGAATCTAACCCAGACCATCAGCCTGATAGAGTAACAGGTGTTTACTGGGTAGAGGGCAGTGTGAACAAGGATGGGATTCCCAGGGCGGCCAGGGGGGCTCAGCCCTGAGTGGCCACGCCACGTCTGAGCTTAGGCCAGTGACCCTGGAAGAGCTGTCCCCATCTCCAAGAAAGCAAAGGCATGTCCCCACCCCAGGCAGGCAGGGCAGAGCAGCAACTCACAGCAGGCGTGCGGGGGGCAGCCCCTTGGGGTGAGTGTGGGGGGGAGAGGGTCATCCTCACGAGCACGGGCATCTCGTCGTCCGACATCGAGCTGGCTGGCTTGTCTCTGGCGGAGGGGGCGGCAACGACGCTGTTGGCGAAGCCCTGAGAGCTGGGCTTGGGCGGGAGAAGCTTGACAGGGACAGACACGGGCATGACCATAGGCGTGAGGCTTTCTGCCTCGGGAGGGAGCTGCGGTGGCGGCGGAGGCGGCAGTGGCGGCTGGGGCTGAGGCGGCGGGGCCTTCTCTCCTTCCTCCTACACAGACAATAAAGGCTTTGATCCTGGGCTGAGAGCAGCTCTCACAAGGGGGGACACACTTTGCTTTTCTTGAAAGGTTCCAGAACATCACGCATGGGTGACAGAGAACCACTCTATGGTGGTTTCCTTCCTGCAACCCTGCGTCCCTTGGCTCAAGCGATGACCGCTGGTAGTGGACAAGGCCATGCACTCTATTTTCTACATTTAAAAGATCTTGACCATGTATCACTTGTCTATTAAAACAAATATTTAAAAAAATATTTTTTTATGCTTGTCATTGCGTTTAAAGAAAAGGATATGGACTTGTAATCAGGCAAAAAAAAAAAAAACCCACATAAGCGCTTCTGTGGGATCTTTTAATTCTATGGGCCTCAGTTTACTCATCTGTCAAATGGAAGACACAGCTCTTTTATCTGGCATGGTCAGGAGATGGAGTGACCTGGGTCATCCAAAGTTTTGGTGAACAGAGCGTTAATCCCATAGACTTAAACTGAGATCAACCAGATTCAAAGAACTGAGAAAATTCTTTGAATTTTAATCTAACTCTAAAACTGCATGGATAGTTCACTACATGGATATCCTACCTGGATAATCCTGAGGGTATTTAAAGATCTTTGGATGCTAGAATCTAACACTAGTGCAGTGATGAATTGAAAATGCTGGCTGAGAACCTGATGGCTGCACCAGCTCTCCCTGGCCAATGACTATTGATCTGGAAGGCCCAAGTGACCCTGGGCTTGGGTGCTTCAAGTAGAAGTTAAAAATAATACTGCAGCTACGTGTTTTCTTTGCTATCTTCTCCATGAGGTGGAGAGGCTGGGATCCCCTAAAAGGATTTCCAGCACCTCTGTTTTTGACCCTTGTTCATGAAGCCAATGGAAGTGGGACTGTTTGACCCGACGGGCTCCAGCATGAAAGTGTAAGTAAGCACATCCTTTAATTAGGGAAGGACTGTGCCTCCCCAGGTGCCCGCATGGGGCTCATACCCTGTCTGATGGCAGCAAAGCAAAGCAAGCAGCACGTGGCCTGGGGAGGACCAGGAACCGGCTCCTGCTAACCTGTTTGAGGCTGGGGGAGGCCCTCATTCCCCCGTGGGACCGCATGTGGCCATTCAGGGCAGGCAGGCTCTTGAACTCCTTCAGGCAGATGGAGCACGTCAGCTTGTTCTTGGCATCAAATTGCTCCCCAAACACTCCTTTTAGTGGGCCACTGCTCAAGGGTAGGGCCAAATGGAGAGGACACGCACATTGAGGAAGGGGAATGGTGATTTATCACACGACCTCATGCCCCATCTTATTCATCCAGTGCTCCCACACCCATGGCCCCACTTGCATCACCCCAATACCCTTCAGAGAACTAAGCCCAATTTACAGACGAAAAACTGAGGCTCAAAAGTGAGAAAGGGCTTGCTCAAAGTCATCCAAGAGTGGAACAAAATGCCCTTCTTCATTCCAGGCCTTCAGGGGCTGGGTTTTCCCACCTATGGCTCATTACCCTTCTAGGGTCAGCTCGGACCGCCTCTTCTAGAAGCTTTCCCTTAGAGACACATGTCTAAATCCTCTGGTTCAGCCTCCAGACCGCATGTGTGAGCAGTTTATCAGGCTCTGGCTAAGTCTTTAATTATTTACCATGCTCATGGAGGAGGAAACAAGTCTGTACTGTTCACTGCTGCATTATCAAAGCTTAGCGTCATGCCCGGCACATAGTAGGTACTCAATAAATGCTCACCGACTGAATGAGGGGACAGTGGACAGAGGGCTGTGGAGTCAGTCCCAGCATTGCTACTTACTTGATGTGCAACTTTAAGCTCTCTGAGCCTCAGTTTTCTCGTGTGAAATAACAGTAATAGCAAATAATAGTTGAGTGTTGACTATGTGCTCGTTACATAGTAATCCTGCCCACCCTCACTGGGTAACTTTATTACACATAATATAGAGTGCCTAGCACACAGTAAGCACTCAAACACAATAGCTGCTATTATTATTCCTATAAACTTCTTTGAGGAATTGACTTTGAATTTGCAAATGAATCATGAGAGACAACCCAGGAAAACCTCCCAGTCCCCCAAAATGCCAACAAGCCTCCTCGCATCCATCCTACCTTGACTCAGGTGATCCTGGCTGGGCTCTGCCATCAGGTAGGTGCATCTAATTTTGAGCCATGCAGGACACCGGAAGAAAGAAGAGAGAGGAAAAAAATGTGTTTCTGATGGGGATGAGTCCTTGAGTGGCGCAAACCCCAGGGCCTGCTCTCTACCTTCGAGGACTTGCCTGCTCTCCACCTCATGCGACCCTGCTCACAGTTGCTCAGGCCCTTGATCTTCCACACCTGAGACTTCTTTCCCTTGACTGCACCCCAAGTCAGGACCATGCCCCACTCTGGGACCTGCTGCCAGCCATAAGCCCACCAGGACCCAATCCCCCACCTCGTTCCTTCTTGTTCTCCCAGTCCACCCACTCTGTGCACAGACAGGCTCCATTCCCACAAGAGACACAGAATGGAGAGCTGGACGACACAGCATCATGCCAAGAGACCTTCTGCTGGAATTCCTTTTCAGGCTTGGCCATGTCATCTTATTCTTATATTCACAAAGGCTCTCAGTTACTACTGGACCTCAGTCCCAAACAAAATAGGGTCAAGGGAAATTCATGTCTGGCCTTCAACCTCCTTCAGAGCCCTCTCTCCATCTATCTTGGTCCTATTCAGGTTTCCCTCCTCCTCTGACCCTGTTGTCACATGAGTGTAGCACTTGGAACATGTCAAGGCATGAACAGTGGCCAGCACATAGCAGGTTGTTTTGTAGTCAAATACATTTGGGAAACAATCAAGGGTTAATAACCATGGCCCACAGGCTGAATGTCATCTGTAGACATGTTTTATTTGGCTAGACTGTTTTTAAAAATCTTGAATAAGAATGCCATTGGATGGGGCATCTGCTCTCCAGGCCACCACAGTCGCCACCACTCCCTATTGTCTCATACCAGGCCACTTTGCTTGTTCACTTTACCTGCCTGGATCCTGTGGGCAGCTAAGGTTTTCATGTCTGCAACTACACAAGGTAGCCCCTTTGGGAGATTCACAGTGCACATTAGCATATTAAAGGCTCTGAGAAGCCCTACAGCACTGCAACCTGCTCCACTTAAAGCAACTCCAAATTCATTTATCCAGAGAACCCATTTTCCGCCCCAGCAATATCCATTTAACATTCTATGGAACTTTTGTTCTGAGTAATACACTTTGAGACATGCTGTCATAATGTGGTCTCCCTCCCAAAGGGGGAACAATTTTACAGGGCATTCCCTGAGGATACAGATCTAAAAGGGACCAGAAACTCCCACTGTGTGGTCCCTGGGCACATGACTCAGGCCTTGATCATTACATGCATCATTCAGGACCTGACATGGTATTTTGGCCATCTCCTTAGAGAGATTATAAGTTCAATAGGCAAAGGACTGAGTCAAAATTGATTTTGTATTCCAAGTGCCCAGCATAGACAGTGTCTGCCACATGTAGGTTAACATTTACGGAATGAATAAACTAAAGGGTCGGAGGAGTTGGAGAGAGGATTGGGCACTGCATAGACTCTGCTCTGGCTGGCCCTGTAGCACACTAAGACACCAAGAGAAACTTCCACCGTGAGAATACCTGGGGCCACATGGCACTGGGAGACAGCTGCTGGTGCGGAGGCCCCATGTTGTTGAGATGGATCCCACTGGGGGACAGGAGTGGCCGATGGGGGAGGGCGCTGCTGACCCGGTTCAGATCCGAGCTTGCTGGGTCTCCCATTCCTGCATCAGGAGGCCCCAGGTCCCCGTGGGAGCTCAGCATGGCCTGGGCCTGCCTCTCGCTGGGGTAAGTCTTGGGCTGACTGTCCTCACGCTGCTGGTGCTGGGGCAGGTGGCTCTGCTGGTAGAGGGGGTGGCTGTAGGACTGCTGGGGCTCCTGGTAGTAGTACTGGGGCATGGAGCCCAGCTGAATCAGCTGGACGGCGTGCGCCTGCTCCGGGGTGTACTGGTGGGGGTCCCTGTGATAAGAAGGGGGCTGCAGGTGCATCTGTGGTTGTTGCTGCTCTTGCAAGTGCTGCATCATGGGTGGGGACTGATAATACTGAGGTATCTGCATTGAACCCTGCCGCTGCTGGAGCTGCAGCTGCTGCTGCTGCTGCTGCTGTTGCTGCTGCTGCTGAGGCTGTGGTGGGCGAATCTGCTGCTGCTGCTGCATTTCTTGCATCGACATACGCTGCTGCCCAGCTTGCTGCTGTTGCTGCTGTGGGTAATACTGGTGCTGCTGCATCTGTTGCATGTGCTGGGACAGCATCTGTGGCGTCTGCAAGGGCTGTCCTCCCTGCACTGGCATCTGAGCCAGTGGCTGCTGGTAGTCATAATACATGTGCCCCTGGCTAGGGTGCTGCCCAACCTGAAGAGCTGGTTTGGACAGCCCGCCAGTGAAACCAGGGTGAGGCTGCTGGGGCACCTGCTGGTAGCGGGAAGGTATAGCCGGTGCTGGGGACTCCACGGGCTTCTGGGACAGCAGCTGGCGAAGGGCACTGTCAGGGGCCCCATCCATCACTGCTGACTGGGTGTGCAGCACCTGGGCCATATTGTTGACCTGAATCCGCAGGTTTTGGTTGGCAAACACCTGGGTGAAAGAGTCTAGTTTGTGCAGGACACCGCTGGTGAGCTTCTGAGTCCGGATCTCACTGGCCTGGGCGTAGGTGTATTGGTAGCCATCAGTGGGGTCAGCCTGGGCCGGTGTCCCCCACATCATGTTTGAGTTGGTCAGGTTGCCACGTAGCTGGACATGGTTTCCAGGCCCTGAATGGCCTCCCCACCCTCCCTGCCTCGAGGTGTCCACTTGGCCAAGGTTTTTGGAGCCAACAGGCAAGCCTAGACCTTCCCGAGTATCTTGAGGGAAGTGGGGGGAGATGGGCGAGGCCTGAGGGGCATCCATGGCAGCCCCTGTGACTGTATTCCCATAGTTGTGGTTCAGCCCACTGTGGACGCCAAGTGCTGGCTGTTGGTAGAAAAGGTTCTCACCACCGTGGGCCACGTGGTTGGTCTTGTACAGCTGCTGATCCCCCATGGTGCCCACCTTGGTCGTGAATGTCCAGCCACAAAACCATAAAAAAAGGTAAATGAAACAAACCCAAAAGGACTGAAACCCTGAGAAGCTGAGAGATAGCGTCCACACTACTCCACGGCTGACATGTCTGTGATCGTGGCTGGAGCCAGGTGTTCCTGTTGGCCTGTACCACTCCTTTGCAGAGCGGGGGGTTTTACATCCTCACTCGGGCTGAGGTACGGACCAAACACCACTGTGGTGAAGAGATGCCGCTCACACCTGCAAGACAAGATGCAAAGGACAGGAAAGGATTTACTTGGATATTCTGTGACGAGCAATTATATCTACCATGACCAGTTATAGAAATAAATACAAAACAGGAGATTCCTCGATTAGAGATAGTCAGTTTCACACACCCCACACCCTTTACTCTGATTCTGCAGATCTTGACTCTCATGTGAGATGTGAACTCTCTTACTTTCAAGCCATTGCCCAATGGCTCATTAGTTCATTGATTGGTTAATTCATTGTTTTGCTCACTGATTAATTCATCCATTCTTCTGGGACCCTGCTATTGAAAGCCCAGCACTATTCTAGGACCTGTGGGGGATATGAAGATGTTTAACACATTCATTAATCAATTTATCTGCGCAACAAATACTTATTAGACACCTACTAAGTGTAAGGCACGATGCTAGGAAATGATTAAGACATAGGCTAGCTCTTGAGGAGCTTATAGTTAGAAAAGATGATAGGTCACATGAATAAGTACAAGATAAGGAGGAAAAAGATGCATGTGATAAAAGATTGAAAAAACAGACATGGAATTCATAGCCTGGAGAACTTATTTCCCGTAGAAGAAAAGAATTGGAGAAAGTCTCAAGGAGGGGTACTGCACGTGTTAGTCTGCCTGTTAGGTCAGCATAGTTACCTGCTTCCTTGTGGTCCCTGTTCAGGAAAACCTCTGTGCACGGGGCTGACCAGAAACCTATGATGTGGCCTGGCACAAGAAAATAGGCTGGGCCAATCAGATTCCCTCTCTTAGAAACAGGAACTAGGAAATTTGGAGAGGCTGGTCTAGTCTGGTTTGAGTCTATACGAGTTCTTTTGTGGGCTTCAAACTGGAGTACGTAAACCCCTGGGAGTATATCAAGACTTTCCAAGCACCACACACACACTCAAAGTTTTAAGAGAATCAATTTCCATTTCCTCAACTTCCATAGAAATTCTCTTCTAGAACTGACGAGTGATCGAGGTACAAGTCGTCCTTTTCTACCTGCTCTTTCACAATAGCCTTCCTCCTTTACGAAAGAAAGGCAAAGCTCTTCCCATCCCATCCCAAATCTTAACTGGGTTACCACCCCAAGGATAACCCCCCACCCTACACAAGAGGACACAGAAAATTGAGGAAGCGAGCAACTCTACTAAATGAGTAGTCAATCTTCTTTACAAGCTGGGTGGTTTCCAATTCTTGCTTTATTAGGGAGAGCTAATAGAAGTAATTAAAATATAATTGTTAGTGATAGATCACTATGTGATTTTTGGTATATAACTCAGAAGCAGATCAAGAACTGAGTGACCAACTCTGCTTTAACAAAACTTTTATTTCTATTTGTTAGTTCATGTGAATGAGGGGTTTTGGTACTTACATCTATATAAATGAAAATCAGAAATACAATCAATGCTGATCCTTGTCTCATACTAGCAATAAATAATAATCTTCCATGGATAAATTAAAAAATTGAAGAATTTTTTTTAGAAGCAATATTCTGTCCCTGGAGCCGGGTGATAACTGCATGGGTGTGCTCACTCTGCAACAACTCAACCTGTACACTCTGACCTGGTCACATACAGGTGTGCATGTTGTATGTCAATAAAAAAATGTATTTAAAAAAGTCATCCAGCATCACCATCTCACTAAGAGATGCATTTCAATATAATTTTAGTTTTTATGTTTATTGATTATTTATCTAAGTTAGTAATATATTTATATCGTTTTGATCAACTGTGTACTATTAATAATTATAATGATAACTCAAACTGGAAGAAAATTTTAATACTTAGAGCTTTATGATTTCAGGAAATTAAAAAAGTTTTAACCTCATATAAAATTGTTACAGAGAAATATAGGGAAACAAATGAAAGAGTTTTAAGCATAAAAATATATTACATAATTAAATTAGGATAAAATTCCATGGGGAAGTGAAACAAATAAAATTTCAAGGAGAAAAAGGAACACTGACTATTAACAAAGAGCTTGTTCATGCATTTTTAAAATGGCTGATGGTGGGTATCAAATTGCTTTGGTGTTTAGATTCCACTGACTAAACAGTGATGTAATAGTTTTACTTAAATATATCAATGTTTACAGTATACTGGAAATTGCATCTTCTGCAATCGTATGATAAAAAATGTAGATGTAAACTTGAAAATGTGTGAGGGGATAAACAGTTTTACAAAATCCTTTTATGGGGGATTTTAAGTAGCAAAGTTTGAAGACCACTGCAGTAGTCCCCCTCCAGCTGGGAGGTAGCCTGAGTTGGTCTCTGTCCTTTACTGAACGACAATAGAAGGAGATGGACAAATTCAGAGTGAGGGATTTGGTTTGATGGAATGCAGCGTGGGTCAAAGGAAGCAGTGGGAGGAAACGAAGGTTGGCCGAAGATGGCTGGAGCTGATTCTCCATGTGAAGTTATGTGTGAGCCATGGATGGCCGCTGAAGGCTTTCTGAGCAGAGGCAGAAGGATGCTGGGTGTGAGGGCGCTGAGCTTCAGGAGCAGGGAGACCAACTCCCCTCGCTGCTCAAAATGTGGTCCGTATCACCTGAGAGCTTGTTAGAAATTCAGATGCTTCAGCCCAGAGCTATTAATCAGAATCTGCATTTTTATCAAGGCTCCCAAGGGATTTGTGTGTAGATTAAAATTTGAGAAGCAATGGGTTAGCAGGTTCTTGCTGCATCCAGGTGAGACATAATTAAGACTGAACTCAGATAACGGTGACCAGGAAGAGGGAGAAATGAGAGAAGCATCCCTTATGCTGCCAGTGGGAAGTGACTCTCCTTTCCCAAAGTGCTCTGCCCTTCGGGGGGGTCATGACCCAGTCTGAGGACACCCCTCCCTTTCTCACACACGCTCTCTCCCTTGACACCTTCACCCACCACACATACCTTGCTGACACCCAATGACTACCCCCAGCTCAGACGGTCTGAGGTCCTCATCAGCTGCCTACTCCACATCACCACTTCCATGTTCAAAGGCAAACTCAACATCATCTCCCCCAAAACGATGCTCCTCCAAAGTCTCTCCCTTGACTCCTCCCTCTCCCTTAGTCAACCACCACAACCTATCAATTCACTCCCTAATATTTTCTTAACTCTATCCATTTTTCTCCAGTTCCACTACTATCACCCTAGTCCAAGACACCATATCTGTCTTCTGGACTATTCCAAGAGCCTTCCAATTGGGCTCCCGCTTTAAGTCTTGTCCATTCTACAAACTGCAACAGCAGAATGAACTTTTCAAAATGTAACTCTGATCTCATCATCCCACTGTTTAAAGCTCTTTGATGGCATCCTAGCGCTCTTAGGTTAAAAATCAAAATCATTAACAAGACCGACAGGGCTCTGGGGAGGTTTGTCCCCAGCCTCACAACATAGCCCTCTTCTCTTTGCTCTTTACCCACTTGCCATCCCCCCAGCCCAGCCATTCTGGTCTCTCAGTTTCCTGAACCTGCCATGCTGCCTCCCACAACACGACCTTTGCACATGCTGGTCCCCTCACTTCGGAGAGCATTTCCCCTACCCCCTCCCTCTTCCTCTAGCCAAGTCCTGGGCATCCTTCAGTCTCAGCTCAAAGTATACGTTCTCAGAAAGTCTACCCTGACCCCAACCCCTAGGTCTACATCAGAGTCCTTTCTCATATGTTCTCATAAAACCATATTCCTTTGCTTTGGACCACTCTTCTCAGGCTATAATTGTACTTCCATTAGTGTGATTATTTAATTAATGGATCTTTCTCTATTAGAGCAGGGACCATGTGTATTTTCATCTATGATTCTATTCCCAAGCCCAGCACATTGGAGCCCCTCCAATGAGGATTTATTGAAGGAGGGGTAATATTTGTTGAATGAATGAATGAAAAAAAATAACATAACAATGATCAAGTATCTCAATGAATTGATATAGGCAGAAAAAGATACTCAGTGTAGGCTGAGCAGATGTTAGGTTTTCAAGGAGAACAGTTACATTTCTCCTGATGGACAAACAGGCTTACAGAGGTAGAGGACAAGAAAGGGTATTTCAGATGAGGGAACAGTGTGCACAAAGGCACAGAGTGAGGCGCAGGGGTCCATGCTGGGGCACTGTGTCCTTGTCAGGAACTCACCAATGATTAGGCTGAATTTGTATGGTCAGAGATAAATTGTGGGGACCCTAAAATGATGTCCAGCAGTGTTATCCCGTGGGCATTAGGCCTAGTGATTTCAGAATGCCCTGCCAGGTTTAAACCTCACCACTTAACCTACCTTGACAGTCTTGTACAAAGTCACCTCCCCTAGGAGGAATTACTTGTTGAAACTCACCAGACTCTGACCGCGATCTGATTTCGTGTCCCTCTACCACGTCCCTGTGGGTGGAATGGAAGCTAGATAATTTTACTTCTGTTGACATGTCTGCTTTGTTCAGTATTCCCAAACTGCTGGGCAAGAGGGATTTCTCTGTGTTTTGAGCTATAGGAACCTAATCTTTATTAGTTGATATTTTCAGAACTGGGAATGTAGTGTATTCACAAGCACAGAACCCCAGAAACTCAGAGGTAGGCTCCCAAACTGTGGTTCCCTGGGGCCAAGAGCATCAGCAGCACGTGAGAATTATTATACATACAAATTCTTGGGCCCCACCCAGACCCACTGTATCAGAAACTTCGGGAGTGGGACCCAGCAGGCTATATTTTAATGAGTCCTCCTGCTGAGTCTGACGCCTTCTCAAGCTGAAGACTACTTTAGAGGTCATCTAATCTCCCCACATTAAAGATGAGGAAACTGAGGCCCAGAGACGTAACTGCTGGGCCAAGACAGTGCCTGGCTCATCGTAGTGGGCAATCAAGGTCACATGTTGAATGAAAGGGAGGGAAAATGACTTCCCTAAGAAGTCATAAGGAGGTAATGGCAAAACCGTGTGCTATTTATTTCACATTAAATTTTTACATGTTTTGAATAAGTACTATATTCACATGGTTCAAAATTCAAAAGGTATAAAAGAGTATACAAAAGAGTGAAAATCA